CGCGCAGCGGCTGGGCCCGTCAGCCATGGCGGCTGAGCCTGCGCGTCCGGAGCCTGTGCTCCGCAACGGAGGAGGCCACAACAGTAAGAGGCCCGCGTACCGCAAAAAAAAAGAAAAAAAAGAAAGAAAAGCAGAGGAGAGGAGGAGGGAGTGGTCAGGGAAGGTTTTGAGCGACCTCCTCACCTGTAAAATGTGGACAGTAGCCCTCACCTCCTAAGGTGAGGAACAAATGAGTTACAGGCCTTAGCAAGTGCTCTGCAAACGTGAACAGCTCTTCTCCCGCCCTCTCTCTGCTCCCTGAAAGGCTTTGACCATTTAACCCGAGGCCCGCCTCTCATGAATAATCCGTCTCTCTCTTAGGCTCCAGGCCTGCCTCTCCAGCTGAGGATTGTTCTGTCTAAACGTCCCCCAGGCACCTCCAACGCAAGAGATGCTGAGCTGCCATCACCACGCATCACCTGCGCCGCCTCCTGGCTGCCCTGTCACTAGTAGTAGTAGAAGTACTACTGCCTCCTCAGTCACCAAACCATGACCTTGGAATAAGCCAGCAAAGTCATTCTCTCTACCCCCTCCTCCAGCAGGTGCCATTTCCACCCAGAGCTGAGGCAGTGGACTTTGCAGGACACAATGAAAATGTGGAGCCCGTTGTTCAAAACGCAGGGAAAGAGCCTTTAAAAATACTAAAATAGAAAGCTTTTCTCTTCCCTCTACAGTCTGTCTTTCCCTCAACTCATCATGGTGGCTTTTGTTAGTTAATACTGTTCTGAGTAAAGAAAGATTAGATTTTTAATTCTTAACGTGAATTTCACTGTCCATCTTTATAATGTGCAATGTCAGTTGTAAAGGCAAATATCAGAGCATTTAACTCCGGAGTAGAATCACTAAAATTACACCATTTGTATCTCATAGAGTGTACATGTATTTCACTCTCACCAGAACAATGGAAACCATGCACAAAACTAACTCCACTGTTTTTATTTCTCTTCTTCATATAGGTACATCCTACCAACACACTCTTTGACTTATCGATAAATGAGGAAGGACTGAGAAAAAAGGAACGATGCGTTGCCCTATCTTCTCCTGACCTTCTCTGTCATCATTTTAAGCATAAGTGGTTGGCAAATACAAGGAAGTAACACACGAAAGGGTATGATAGGATTGTGTTTCTTAGGACTTCATTGGCTTTTTTTGCATCTGAAGCAAAGTTTGCTTCAAAAGGGAAGCATGGCCCCTAGGGGCTGTCAGCACCGCATTTACTCAGTTGTATGTGTAACTTGCTTACCTTCTACTCACTCTGAGTCTCACTGAATTCACACGCCTCGTGGGCCCCCTGGAATTCTGTGCTCATGGGGCATCACAAAGACTGTAACTGGAATGGAGCTGCCGAAATGGTGGACACACATATTCTGATTATATCCTTTCCTCATGAGCGCGCTCTGGTGGCCCATTGGACTTCACTTAAAATACACAAGTTCAAAGATAAAATTATTAAGAATTTCAAGATGGCAACAGCAGAGCATTAACCCAAGAGTGGCGCCCTACTGAGTCTGGATCCCGTGCCCCTTCATAGGTGATGCGCCTCTCAAGCCAGCCTAGTCACCTTACACTCTCCGGACCTGCCCTCTCCTTTTCAGCCCCTTGGTCTCCATCCAAGTCACTGGAACCTCTCTCGCAGCTGTTACAATAGTTTCCCTACTTCCTGTTGCCTTCCCTGTCCTTCCTCCATGTTGTCCTGAGAGAGACCTTCATAAAGCACACATTTAATCTGGTCCTTCTAACCCCTCTCCTTTTACGTCCTTTTATGACAATAAAGTATAAAATGCTAAGCGTGGCATCCAAGGCCCTCGGTGACCGTCCCCGTCAGCCCTGCAGTTTCACCTCCTCCAACACTCAGCCCCTGACAAAGTAGTCTTTATCCAAGCAAACATTTGACCGATGAGTATTGTTGCCAGATTTCACAAGTAAAAATCCAGGATGCCCATTTAAATTTGTCTCATGCATATTTGGGACATATTAACCAAAAATATTATTTGTTATTTATCTGACATTCAAATTTGAACTGGATGTTAACTGTATTAGCCACTGGATCTCTCTTTTTCTCCAAGTTACACCTCAGAGGCTGCCCCCTCCTGGAAGTCTCCCTAGGTTTCCTGTCACTCCCCTCATCACAACACCGACACGTTGCTCTCTTTGGTCCGTGATGTTTGGCCCCCAGCAGACCTGGGGCCAAGCAGCCTGATTTCAAAGTCTAGAGTCACTCTCCTCTAATTGTGACAAGTCACTGAATCTCCTTCTGCCTCACTTCCTGCATCTGTAAAGTGAGCCTGATGAGAATGGTGGTGATGGGGTAACAGTGCCTACTTCCCAGGGTTCTTGTAAGGACTCAGAAGTTCGTACATGTGTAAACCACTTAGAATGATGGCTGGCACATAATAAATGGTAATTCTTTGCTGAGAATTCCTGGCCAGCAGAACCTGTGTTCTAGTTATTGCACCCTTGGCTCCTAATACAATACCTGGCACACAAATGAGGAGTGCTTGTTGAATGAACGTACCTGCTTTAAATGAACGTACCTGCTCAACCTGAACTTTGAGAAGGAAGATTATAAAAACTTTCCTGGCCTAAGGTTTTATCCTGGGACCAGGAAGGCTCCTGTTGACAGGGCTGTTTCCTCCCCAGGCCCCTGGGGGTCCTCCTGGGGCAGCTCTCCACCCTGGTTTCTGTTACTTCCACACACTCCCTGTTTCTAGGCCTCGTCACCGCCCTGGCTCTTCCCTTCTTCTGTCTCAGCAGCCGTGTTGCTGGATGTGCAGCTGAGCCCCGCTCTGCAGGCTGTGGGGGGCGCGGGGCGATATTGTGCTCCCCCCTGCCTGGCCTCTCCTGGTCCAGCATCTGGGCCAGACTCTTCTGCTCCTGTGACCCAATTCTGACAAACTCCGGAGAAGAAACGTTTCCTATCGCTGAAGCCAAGGTGCTAGAAACGGGGAGCAGAGGAGAAAGGGGAGATGGGCAGGAACATGTGTGGGAGGTAAGTGTAGATAAAAGTCTGAGAGAAGGAACAAGAAAACCATAGTATCCCTTTCATGTTATTCTCTGGCCAAATAAACTCTGTTCGGGCAGGAAAAAGAGCCGCTGGGCTTGAACCAAGGAACTTTGCACTGTTGTGTGACACTTCTCAGCTGGCCAGAGCTTCCTCTCCTGCCCTCACTGGCTGGCTTATGGGCCTGCACAGAAGCAGATTTGCCCCCTAACCGGCTGGTCTGAGCTGAGGTCCTGTTCCTCGGGGTCAGCGCAGGCGGCCACAGCAACAGGGCAGGCCTGCCGCACAGCTGAATCAGTTTAGAGGTCAGGCTTTGTGCCAGACTGAGCCAGGTTCACTCTGGCATTGCTACTCGCTGGCTGAGTGACTTTGCTCCATTATTCAACTTCTCTCAGCCTCAATTTTATGCAAAAATTAGGACCATAATACCTCCCTGGCAGGTTTGGTGCAAAGAGGAGAATAAACAAAAACTCGCACCCCTGGGGCTTACTTGAGTCCTGGGGATGCACACAGCTCCTAGAGCAGGGAGAGCACTGGATAACTCTCGGCTTTTATTATTGGTGTCTTAGAAAGAGGGTACAGTAGGATTCTGAGATGTGATCTGCTCCTAAAAAGGAGCAAAGTTGGAATGAATGAGATTCTTCCCTCCTTTTCTGTGATCTGATTCACTTCAGAGAACTCTAGTTTTCTTGTGAGAAATCGAGGGGAGGCTTCAGAATTCTATATAGAGGACAGATGTGTGTATATGTCCTGCGGGGCCTGAGGCTGCATCTGCACAGACCTCCTCATACTATTGAAAAAAAAAATGTCAAGAATGTAAAAGATGTTGAAGGTTTGGGAGGCACAGTACCAAATATGTTAGTCCCCAGTAGTCCCCAAATTTGTTAACTATGTTTTCACATTAAAAATTATTAGGGCTTCCCTGGTGGCGCAGTGGTTGAGAGTCCACCTGCCAATACAGGGGACACGGGGTCGTGCCCTGGTCCGGGAAGATCCCACATGCCACGGAGCGGCTGGGCCCGTGAGCCATGGCTGCTGAGCCTGCACGTCCGGAGCCTGTGCTCCGCAACAGGAGAGGCCACAACAGTGAGAGGCCTGCGTACCAACCACAAAAAAAAAAAAAGATTACTGGGTATCTCTTCAATGGAATACTGACACTGTCTAGCAGACCTCACACTGGAGATCTCTGATTCTGTAGGACTGAGCCCTTGTTTCTTTTTCTAGACCATTTACAACTTTGTAGAGGCAGATGTTAACTTATAGAACAGTGAGAGTAATACAAATGGTTCTTGTGCTTGGTGACGCAGACGACTTCTCTCTGATAGAGAATATAAGATTTTATAAATCAAATCCCCATTTGAACCACTTTTAACATTTTTACTGGTTTTCTTATTAATTAATAAGTTAAATAAATCATTGACACTTTCTTTTTATATATTTACCTTTTTAAAAAATTATCCTTTATTAGGACATACAGGGTTTTCACTGTAAAGCATTACCAGTACAAAATAGCTAGGAAATGGTACAAAACAGTATACAATCTAGGGTTAAATTTTATGGAGGGAAGAACAAAAATACAGAAATGGGGAAGTCCTCTGTAGGTTGCTGTGGGAAATAATGACTAGTCAAACAAAAAAACATGATGCTTTAGTTTCAGGAAAAATTGCTAGAACCTACTCTGTCAATAAAAATTCTACTGTATTAGGAAGGTGACAACAACTGATTTTTCACTGTTCCTTTAGTCCTCACGACAAGGACCTTTGTCAGATATTGGGAGGAAATTTGATTATGCTCCATGCATTGACCTTAGGCTGTTACATTTATGTCCAGTTATGACTCTGTTCTGGCTATACAGGTAGTTTTTTATTTTGTTAATTTAACTTTTTCTACACATATAATATGTCACTGAATTTGTAAAACCTCTTTGGAAAGGCTCTCTGTTCACATGGAATCCTTTTTCTGATAGAGAAATAAAGGGTTTACACTCTCACTTTTCTTTTTCAACTCAGTGGTGTTTATTGGATGCTAACTAAATGAATTGCATGGGCTAGGTGCTAAGGGAGATTGAAAAGAAACACATGCATAAAAGTTCATATAGATAGCCAAGTTCTCTTCTCACAATTTTCTTATTGAGCTGGTGGTGTTGATAGCACAGGTAATATTATTGAACTCTCCACTTTATAGGAAATCAAGACAGAGGGACACTGGGTGGCTTGGCTGAAACCACAAGCGGAATAAGCAGTGGGGGTGGGACTAGTACCCAGGGCTTCTGATTCCCAGCAGCATCCACTTCCCTACCAAAAATATACTTCTCTCAACTATTGCAAGTAACTTGAGGGGCTCCCACATTCGGGGTGATTCTCAGTGGAAGGCTCCTCTTCTCATGATCTGAGGAAAAGGGAACAATTTCCATCCCTTCCTCGGGATCCCAGTTTCAGTTCCATATTTCAGGAGTGATTTGAGCCTCCTTGATTTAACACTGGGTCCCAGAGCCTTTATGTTTATTTGTTGTTGTTGTTTTCCATGATGACTCTCAAGGTATCTTGGTTTCCCAACCATCCTGTGGGAGAGAATGGGGCAAAGCTGGAGTCGCTCTCCCAGCCAGGCCCCTCTGCCACTGGGCTGGCCCAGGAATCTCGGAGAGTCCGGAGACAGCCTCTGTGTGCTCCAGTACCCACAGTCCTTGGCCGTTTCCTGCTTTTCTCTGCAGGAATAACGCCCAGCACTTCTGGCTCAGGCACCCTCTTGCTGAAGGACTTTCCTTGGGCAGCAGCTCAGACTTCACTCTTGCTTCTTCTGGGACTTCTGCTGGCTGCTCTTGGTTTCATCTGGAAGCTTCGCCAGGAGAAAGAGCGAGAACGCTGGACCAAAGGTAAAGCAATCAGAAGACCGGGGCAGTGAGGTCCAAAGAAGACTGTGGAAAAGGGATTGGACAGAGGGGAAGGGAGAGGACAAGGATGAAGAGGATTAAGGGGATTTGAAGGTGAGGTTTTTAATTCAGTCCTTCCTCCCTCAAAACCAGCAACCCTACTCGTTATTTCCCTCACCCTGTGACACTGACCGTGCCCTAGCTTTCCTAGTTCTAGGACAGCTCACAGGACTCACTGCACACATGATGCAGGAAGGGGTCTCCCCGAGGTCCTTTCCACGTAAACATGGCTCGTCTCTTGTGGACGGTACTGAATCATTTCTTGTCCTTTCACAGAGAAATTCCAAAGAAAGCTCCGTAAGTTCTGTGCTTCTCTCTCCTGTGTATACGATTTGAGACCCTCTCATGTACCATTTATCTCACGAGGTTTCTTTGTCCTACTTCAGGCTGGAGAAAAGCCCAGAAAGTGGATGGTGAGTAAATTGGATTTTTTCTTTTCCCTCTAAGACTTTATGCGCTTCACTTAACAGGTGCCTTTCTCCTGATTCTTTCCCCTGAGGCCTTGCTTACTCTTACGCTATCTGGATTTACGCCATAGAATCCCAATAGTTCTGTTCATACCTCATGGATGCCCCAAAGGTTTTTCTTCTGTTTTTTTTTCTTTTTGGCTGCATTGGGTCTTCGTTGCGGAGCGCGGGGTTCTTATTGCGCCTGCTTCTCTTGTTTCAGCGCTCAGGCTTCTGAGGTTGCCACACGCAGGCTTAGTTGCTCGTTAGTTGCTCCACGGCAAGTAGGGATCTTCCCAGACCAGGGCTCAAACCCGTGTTCCCTGCATTGGCAAGCAGATTCTTAACCACTGCGCCACCAGGGAAGTTCCCCAAAGGTGTTCAAACCTGTGGCCAAAACTGAACTCCATCTCCTTTGCTGTCAACTTGCCCTTCCTCCTGGACCCCCTGCTGCACAATGCTGCCAGCACCCACCCAAGGAGCCTCCTCTCCTCCCCTCAGGGCAAGTCCTGTTACTGCTTAGCCCAGGACCCCTTCCGAGGCATAGAATACCTCCCCCAGGTTTTCTTCTTTTAACACAGATCCCTGGGATTAGGTTACCAAGACCCTTCTCTTAACAGCAAGCTGCTTCCATTCCCCCAAGAGCTGCTGCTGCCCTTTTCCTTTTATGACTTTTAGTATAAATAAATATTAGGAAACAGACAAGAAATCTGAAAAACAACCAGCATAAGCAAGACATTGCTTCTGAAAAGTTTACCATTGTCTAGAGTTTCAAAGTAGACTTGCTAAAATAGAAACCCAATTACATTCCTCTCAAGTCCCAAACCTTCTGTGGCTTCCCATTGCCTTCTGCGGTCTTACTGGGGTGGGGGATGCTATGGACATTTGTAATCCTAAAAGGATTTTCAATATTTTTTTTGAAAAATTGTCTTAATGTTAATTTTAATCAAAACAAACACAACCTAAGCAGATCCTATATCACCTGCTTAACATCCTTGTAATCAATTATTGCTGAGTGGTTCAAGTTTCCAACCTAACTGCTATGTTCATAACTGCATTAGTGACAAAGGAACTCCCTAATGACAGATTTTAACTTTTAATGCTACATTTTTTAATTGGCTCCCTCAGGACTTTGAAGGTATATTTTCAGATGTATTTGGAAATTAATTTTTGCCTAACCAAGGTTCTTACGTAACTCAGTTGAAGAAACACTACACGAAAAGGTAAAGTGCAATCTGTGCACTTTTTAACCCCACAATGCAGTCACTCGATGGTCCAGTCCTATTTCTGCTCCATCCCTGGACACTCCCTGACACGCACCGCCCTACACTGGCCTGACCACACCACCTGCAGTGCCCCAAATCCATCATTCGGTTTCCTACTTCTGTGCCCATTTCCTCTGCCTGTTCACCACACCTGGTTGACCTTGTTTATTCTACTCATTCAGACAAACTGGGACAGGCTTCTTAACCTCTCTGAAGTTCTATTTTTCCCACCCAGAAATTGATTTAATTACAACTACTACTTTGAGCAGATGTTAGGAAATGAGACAAAGGTATGGAGGACACCCAGTACAGGCGTAGCACGTAGCTAAGTTCAGTGAACATTAGCTGTGACCCTTCATCACCACATCCTTTCCCCACATCTCTGAAGGTAATGCCACCTCAGAGAGAAAAGAGAAGGGGGAGTTGCCAAACTTCCTGCCCCATGACCTGCACCTGCCCTTTCTAATCTGTTTGTTCTGATTTCAACAGAGCAGATGTCTTTTTTCCTTTCTGAGGCTATTTTCCCATTCTCATCCTAGACCCCTCACTTTCCAGCTTCCCTCAGGGGTTCCCTATTCATTTCATTCATTCATTCATCAACTCAGCAAAGATCCATGACTATGTGCCAGTTACTCTTCTAAGTACCCAGGGCACAGAAATGAACACCACAGAACTTTCCCATTCACAAAGAACATACCTTCCAGTGGAAGAAGACAGAAAAAAAAAAAAAAAAAAGGAATAGTAAAATATACAGTTTGGCGCACGTTAATATGCACTCAGGAGATAACAGAATATTGCATTGGAAGGTATAGTTTAAAATAGGGTGATGAATTGTACACCTTGAACTTACAAAATATTGTACATCAACTATATTTCAATTTAAAAAATTAAAATAAAATAGGGTGATGATGAAGTAGGGGAGCAAGCCACAGGAATAGCTGGGGGAAAAGCATTCCAAGAAGGGAGAAGCGCAGTGCCAAAGCCCAGAGGCAGAAGCACACTGGTTTGTTTGAAGAGTAGCAAAGGAGCCAGTGCAGCCAGAGGGCAGGGAGTGACCAGGAGAATCAGAAGGGGTAGGATCAGAGGGGCCTGGAGGGCCAGATCACACACACCTTGAAAGTCATCATGCTGGCCTTGGCTTTGCCTCTGAGAAAGAAGCCACCAGTGAGTTTTGAGCTGAGGAGGAACTGAGCTTGACTTAACGTTTTGAGAAGTTACTTTAGATGCTAAACTGAAACTGGGCTGGGGGGGGGAAGGGGGGAGGCTAGGAGGGGCAGGATAGAAGCCTGAAGACCAGCTGGGAGCTGCTGCAGACATCAAGGGGAGAAATGAGGATGGCTTATACCGAGGGGGAGTGTTGGAAGTGGTGAGGAGGGGTCAGTGCTGGATTTATTTTAAAAATAGAGTAAGAAGGCCTTGCTGATAGACTTCAATGTGGCGTGCAAATAAAGGAGTGGATCAAGGATGATGCCAAGGTCCAAGGTCTAAGAAACTGTGAAGATGGAATTGCCATTTTCTGCGATAAGAAACCAAGAGAGAAACAGGTAGTGGGGGCAAGGGGAGTAGGTAGCACGGAATGGAAAGGTGCAAGAGGGTATTAGTGATCCAATGGAGATGCAGAGTAGGCAGTTGGATAACCAAGTGTGCAGTCCATACAGGAGGTCAGGGCTAGAAATATAACTTACTCTTTTTGCTCCTCTGTATTTTTTCTTTTTCTGGTGACCTTGCATAACTCAAAATGCCTTTTTCTAGATTAAAAACTTGTATTAATTGGAGTATAGTTTGTTTACAAAATTGTGTTAGTTTCAGGTGTGCAGCATGGCCATTCAGTATTTTTGCAGGTGTTATTCTAAGTCCTCCCCAGATAACTTAAGTAGCAAGTGTTAGTCTGACCTCCAACCTATAGATGAAGAAACAGGAACATTGAATAGTTAATTAAACTGGCTTTGGGTTTCATGGCTAATGTGTTGTGGCTAATAACATATTGGGATCGACAGAAGAGCCGTGAGCTAATAGCCAAAAAGACACAGGGCCCAGAACACACTAGCAGCTCCCCAGGTGAAGGTACAAAAAAATGTGTGGGAGTCCCTAATCACAGCAAGAGGTGACATATTAGCTATGAAAAAGAGATGCTCCCTGCGGAGACTAACTAAATAAAAGAGACAGATTTCCAGGCAGCTGGCCATCCTTCCTGCATGCAGGACAGTAAACTAGGTCATGGAAAAGATGCAGGAGAAGATGAGGTCAGGTGCTTGACCGTGGGAATGAGTGAAGCATGATCACAGTGAGGAAAGGAGTGAATCCAGCAGAGTTCTGTCCTGTGTCCAGGGCTGTGTCCTGTGTCCTGTGTCCCAAGCAATGGCAGCCTTCACATGAGTTTGCAGAAGCTGGTGCCTTTCAGCCACTAAGGCACAAAGCCGTCTAATTTGGGGAATGAGGAGAGATGAGTAAAGAGCTCCCCGTGGCGTCCAAGCCCATGCTTAGGAACCAAGAAGGGGAAATAGAAGAGTGCATTTCGTCCAGCCTCCCTCTTCCTAGACACTGTCCTTGTGAGGAACATGAGGAAATCAGCCAGACAAGTGCTAGAGATGAGTGAAGAGGGCTCCAAGGACGGGAAGGAGAGGCAGCCAGAACACAGAAAGGGCCAAGAAATGTATGGCTCTGGCCAGAGAGCCCTCACCTCTCTTTTTTCTATTGCAGATCGGAGAACAGCTTGGTCCTATTCTGGCGAGTGGCTGTCTAATTCTTATGGCCTCAGGCCCAGGACTCCATAAAAGAAGATCTTAGTGGTCTTTCTCCATCTTCCAGCTCCAAATAGTGGCCTGGCTGGGCTGGCAATGAATGGAGACCCAGGGAGAATCCACATAGCATCAAGATCAAGCGCTACCCAATCTCAGTTCAGCACCTGCACCTACTGCCTTTCCAGCAGTTTCGACTGTTTTTTTTTTTTTTTTTCTTCTTAAAGTGCTGCTCATCCACTTTCTCTCTTGGGTTTTTCTACTCTTCAATATCTTTAGCATCATGGACCTGAGGGTACAACTAGAAAGGCTTCATTCAAATGACGGTCAGTCTCTAGTGGGTTATGTGCATCTTAGAGGAGATCTGGCGACTCTGTCCACCTAAGCTCCTCTCCCCTCAGAGCAGAGGTGCCACTTGGCACCCAGTTCCCCCATGGAGAATCCTAGAAAGACGAGGGATAAATAAAACCTAGTAAATTGTCTTTCAAAATTGCTAACATTTATTGAGCAGCTACTACCGTGCACCAGAAGCAGCTCTGAGTGCTTAACGTATATTCTTCCATTTATGGATCCTCACAACAGCCCTAACAGTTAAGTGCTATTATTATGCCCATTTACAGCAGAAGAAATTAATCCACAGAGAGGGCAAAAACCTTGGCTTCAAATCACACATCCAGGAAGTGGTGACACTGGGATACAAGCCCAAGGAGTCTGGTCCCGCCGGCTATGCTCCGTCCCCTCATTATGTGGCGTAGGGTTGTAATAGATCTGCTCTGATCCCTTATCCTTAACATGAAGGAGGCTCAGTAATTTCAAATAACTGGTTCAACTGAAGGACTTTCTCTTTGAAGTGATATTGTTTGTTTCTTTGTTTGTCTCAAGACTGAGTTCCTTGACAGGGCATGGCCTGTGTTTTACCATCTGGGAGTGCTCGGTATCTAGGACATGGAAGAAATGTCCACAGAAACGGTATATGCAGGGAACTGACTTTGGGTCATGGCTTGTATTCGTCAGGGTAGGCTAACTGTTGCAACAAACAGCCCCAACAGCTCATTAGGTAAACACAATGAAAGTGTACGTCTCCATCTCTTCAGTGTTCAGGACAGATCATATGGGGATGCGGGAGCTTTGCTCGACATGGACCCAGGGCCTCACTCTACTCCGTACTGAGCCAGCAAACGGCAGAAAAAGGAGTGGAAATAATGTGCAGAAGGTTTCTCATCGGCCAGGCCTGAAGTAGCCAACTCTTCTCCTGGATACGCAAGGGAGGCTGGGAAATGTCATCTAGCTGTGTCCCCAGGAGGAAAAGGAACCAATGTTTGGTGAACACATAAAAGTTTCTCCCATATGACTCTTCTAAGCTAGGAGATTCAGGGAAAGTCTATTAAAGACGGGTATTGATGAGATCAGATATTTTACACAGTTGGCCATAAAGCTCTGGCCAAGTGGTCCTCCACGCAGTCTCCTGGGGCTTCAGGTTGGCAGAGAGGCATGGCTGAAGGCTGTCCATGGGACCTTCCCCAGCCCTTCATTCTGCAAGTATTATTAAGCACCAGTTGTGAGGCAGTGTCTGACAATGCTAGACAGTGGGGATGCAAAGATGAACAAACATAGTCTCTACCTTTTGGGGTCCTAGTCTAGTAGAGGAGAAAAACGTGAAATAAACAATAATAGTGCAGTGACATGAGAGGGGGTTGTACAAAATGCTGTGGGAGATGAGAGAAATGTGATTGGCCAACCCCTGCTCCTGGGGTCCAGGAACCTCCGGATTTGGGGAATCTGGATTTTCTCCTCCTTGTAAGTTTCTGAGCTCTCCTAGTAGCTCTTTGAAGCATGTTCTTGAGGACATTTGGGGGAGATACTTATCACTCCAGCTATTTTGTAGAGGAAGCAAAGGAACTTCATGGGTTAAAACCAGCTCCTTTTCCCCCTCTTCCCAGTCACTGAGGGCCCTGGGATGCCAGAGTTAACGGGCCTCTCTTCTCTCTCACTCTTTCCGCAGCTCATGTGACTCTGGATCCAGACGCTGCCTACTCTGAACTCTTTCTGTCTGAAGATCACCGAAGTGTTAGGTGGAGAAAATCGTGGCAGGATCTCCCAAAAAAACCTGAGAGCTTTTCTTTTGAGCCTTGTGTGCTGGGCCACGAGTCCTTCTCTTCGGGGAGACATTAATGGGAGGCGGAAGTGGGTGACAGGACTTACTGGGAGCTGGGGGTTTGTGAGGAAAACATAGAAAGGATGTGGGGGAATCATAGAGTCACCTCAGAATGGGTTCTGGGCCATGGAACTCTATGCTGGGAAGTACCAGGCCCTCACCTCCCCTCGGACTGTCCTCCCCCTGAGCGAGGCCCCCAGCCGGGTGGGGATGTTCTCGGACTATGAGGCTGGGGATGTCTCCTTCTATAGTGTGGCCGATGGGTCCCACACGTACACTTTCCCCCAGGCCGCCTTCTCTGGGCCTCTTCGGCCTTCCTTCTGCCTCTGATTCTATCACCCAAACCCTCTGATTATCTGCCACTGAGGCCATCTGTCTCCAGACTTTCTCTCGGTTAAACGTCCAGGGGAGAACTTGGCACTGGGGTTGAGGTGCCGTATTTCTGGGGACAACGCCCCCAAGACTCCAGCTGAGCCAGCAGTGGAGGCTGAGCCCCTCTGACCTTTGCTGCACATAAAGACTAGGGACAGTTTATAATTCTCCAAGGCTGAGTGGTGCAGAGGCCAAGAAAGGACAACGCGACCCTACAGAATCTTGTCAAGAGAGTCTGTCTGGTGTTGCCATCCCAGCTGGAAACTGAAAAAGGAACCCCAAAAGAAAGCAGAGACAAGATACTGATGGAAAGACTAGCCGGGTGGAGGGTGACCTCTGACCTTGAGCTCCTTGTCCTTAATGTCTGCATAATAGAGCAGCAGGAAGCTGGATCTGGATGGGCCTTGACTGCCTTCTGAGTCTTTTCATACGAAGACGTTATTTCATTTTGACGCAGGTACAACCCAGGGAGAGACTGAATAAAGTGTACAGAGAAAAGTCACTTCTCCAGATCACCCTGATGCTCTGGGAATTGATGCTGCCTTCAACATTCTTACATCTAATGCCAATCATAGCACCTCTAAGAGTCCAGTCACTCCTTATAAAGCAACTGCAATGGTCCTTTCAGTGACACTTTTCACCCCAGATCCAAGATTTCTTTTCCGGTTTGTGAATTTGTTTACTGCTCCTTTCCCTAAATATCTTCCTACCTTTAGAACATTTTACTGCATCAACAGTTAAGTGCATATTCTTTAACTTTTTTCTATGCTTACACAGATACATACATACAGACACACATACACACACAGTTTTTCTAATGAAAATTGAGCCTTGTTATATTTGTCCCATGATATGCTTCTTTTACTTAACACCAAATCTTAAATACAAATCTTATATTATTCGTAATCAACGTGGTTTTCTTTCTTCCCTGTTACAAATAATGCTACTGTAAACATCTTTGTATGTAAATTGTTTTGCACAGCTCTGGTCACTTCCACGGAATAAATTTCCAAACTGCATTTGTCATTAGGATAAATTCTTAAAAGTACAATTGCCATACAAAAGGGACTTGAAATATTTTTAGGTACAGGGCTACCTATTTCCTGCAAAAGAAGTATCTGCCTACAGTTTGGTATCTATCAGGCTCATTTTCCTAAAGTCAACAGTAGAAGCCCGCCCTTCAGCTTTGCATTCCTTCAGCTTCAAACCCAGCCATCTCTTCATCCTCAAAGGACAATCCAATCTATCAACCTTAAGAAGGAGGACCAAATCTACCTTTTACTGCACATACGTTTGTTTTTTTTTTCTTTTTTTGAGGTACGCGGGCCTCTCACTGTTGTGGCCTCTCCCGTTGCGGAGCACAGGCTCCGGACGCTCAGGCTCAGCGGCCATGGCTCACGGGCCCAGCCGCTCCACAGCATGTGGGATCTTCCCGAACCGGGGCATGAACCCGTGTCCCCTGCATCAGCAGGCGGACTCTCAACCATTGCGCCACCAGGGAAGTCCTACTGCACATACATTTTTATGTCTCAATCTCTATGAAGCATGGTTGTAAGCAAATTGCCTGAATGATCTCATTTCATCCTCACAACAATAACCCAAAAGATAGGTGCTGCTATTACCCTTATTTTACATATAGGGCAACTAAGGCACAGAGAGGTTAAGTGATTGGCCCAAGGTCACACAGCTAGTTAAGTTCACCCAGGCAACCTGGCCTCCAAGTCTATGGTTTACCCATTCCAATATTAACTGCAATGCCTGATACCTACTAGACTGTAGGTTCTCAATAATAGTGTGCTGAATCAATGAATTCTTTCCTGCTCCATTTTATATACATTTCTCTCCCCAGGCTTTATGTAAAGGCCTGGATGAGAAGTGGATCTGGAGCCTGTTTCTTTGGAAACCATAAAGTTAAGAGGTACAAAATGTTGTGCCTAGAAACCCCTTCTCTGAAGTTTAGCATCTAGGCTTGAAATCAAGTTTGCTTCTCTGTGTCAAAGTAGGTTGGATCCTCCAGACAAGAGAGGAATATTTCATTCTCATTGATATGATTTCCTGCAGCAAAGCTTTTTGACAGACTGTGAATTTTAAAAACGAAATTTCCCAGTGAGTCAGAAAGCAGGAAGCACTCAGAGAAGGGTTTTGCAGCTGCAACATGACCTTGAGAGAAATACTATTTCCTGTTAAGTATGGAGTTGGCTTTATCAGGCATGTCTGTTTTCCCAGCCTGATGACTGGGAGGGCAGATTTTTACTTTCTGAGCTAAGTTTTACCTTCTCACCTCTCTGTGATATCATGCCCACTCTTCTATTTTATTTTATTTATTTTATTTTATTTCTGAACTCAATCCCATGCCTTTCCTCAGTTTCCTTTATAAGTGGTTTCATGCCTGCCATTCTTCATGTGATTTGGGGGCCTAAATACTACAGGTCCTCAAGTCCCTTCTTGTGGTATCAGCAGAGAAAGGAGCATTTCTCTTAGTAGGTGCCAGGGAAGGGACAAAAGGGACCTGAGGCACTGCTTGTCCCTGCCTGAGGTTGTTCCTGAGAGGCAGTCCTGGAGCCCTCCTGCTTACACATAGCCTGTTGGAGGTAGCCCTGACTTTTAGTAAGAGTGGCCAGGTACCTGGCGCCAGACCATCAATGTCTTTGGGGATGGCTGGGCATTTAGGAGCTAGGGATAGCCAGATAAAAATAACTCCCTGATCATTTTAGAACGTATAACTTAAAGATACTCCTACATTTATATTTCAGACATAGCATTGGTGCCTCAAGCATTTCAGAACTATGTTCTACCTGACAGGTCTGCTGAAGTCTCCAAGGGAAAGCGCACTGGTGTTTGCAACTTACTTTAGAAGGTACCAAATAAATCAATAAATATTGGAATAAATAATAAATAAGGATGGATAGGGGTGTGAACAGAAGGATAGATTATAATAAAGCAAGTATAGTAAAATGTTCACTGTAGAATCTAGACCATAGGTGTATTAGACGTTCACTGAAAAATTCTTGCAACTTTGCAATCCGTTTGAAAAGTTTCAAGATAAAGTGTTGATAAGTGGGGACTGGGGAGGGATGAATTGTATTTTGCTGCTGCTGATAGAGCCAGAAGTACTTCTGGCTCAAATAAAACAAGATTTATTTTCCTTTCACGTAAAGTGAATTCAGAGGGCAGCTGTCCAGAGCTGGTCCAGCAGCTCAGAGATGCATCCATGCCCCAGCCTCCTTCTGTCTTTATTCTCTGCCCTCTCAGCATGTAGTTTCCATTCTCAAGGTTGCCTCATGGTCACAAGTTGGTCACTGCACTCCAGCTCCAAAGACCATGCTCTAGGCAAGAGGAAGAAAGAGGTACAAGATCGTAGACCTGTCTTGAGAAACATAACCCAACAACTTCCGTCTTCAAATCAGTGGCTCAGGGCTTCCCTGGTGGCGCAGTGGTTGAGAGTCCGCTTGCCGCTGCAGGGGTCACGGGTTCGTGCCCCGGTCCGGGAGGATCCCATGTGCCACAGAGCGGCTGGGCTCGTGAGCCATGGCCGCTGAGCCTGCGCGTCCGGAGCCTGTGCTCCGCAACGGGAGAGGCCACAACAGTGAGAGGCCCGCGTACTGCAAAAAAGAAAAAAAAAAAAAACATTGGCTCAAACTTAGTCCCTTGGCCTCTCTTATCTATAAGGATGGGCACATTGCTCTACTCCCCAAAATTCGGTTTGAGTACTAAGAAGCAGGGACCTTTTGCCTCATTGGAAATGAGAAAGCAAGGTGGGTCACCACCAGCTCTACTGGAGCCATCTGAGAAAATTTGGCCAGGGTTGTCTTGCCGTGTCTGCTCAAACCCTCACAGTCTGATCCAGAAATACTGCCTCAATATGGGCTGCCAGTATTCCATCAGGATACGAGGTGTGTAGGTTTTATTAAGCTGGACTCTGTGAACTTCCTTGAATGGGCCATCCAAAACATCCACCTTACCACAGAAAGAATGCTAGCTCTTTGTACATTTAAAAAAAAAAAAAGCAGGAAATAGAGCTTGCACAAGCAACCAGCCATCTCCACCATAGAGCCTAAATTCAAACTGTTGTAATACAATTAAATTCCGGGAATTCCCTGGAGGTCCAGTGGTTGGGACTCCATGCTTTCACTGCTGTGGGCTCGGGTTCAATCCCTGTTCGGGGAGAAAAAAAAAAAGGAAAATACACACACACACACAGTTGGCCAAAAAGTTCGTTCAGGTTTTTTCCATAATATTGTACAGAAAAACCCTAACAAACTTTTTGGCCAGCCCAATATATAATTAAATTCCATCAGCCAAGTCATATCAAAGTCCTTTGAGCTTTAATCATTGTCTCAAGAGACAAATAAATTGTCTTGGGAGGCTCTAGGCCACAGGTAAGACCACTTTGTCCCAAAGACCCCTTATAGAAACAGTATCCACAGACTATCCAGAATCTAACCTCAGAAAATACAGAATCCTGCTGGCAGAGTAGAAAGAAATACGTGTGAAAATACAAACGTAGCACAAATAAGGCTCAGAAGGTGAATGAGGCTTCTGAGCAACACCCCAAATAAGAATTTTTCTGAAAAATGTAAAACATGCCAATCGGTCACCGGCAACACCGCTTTGGGAAATCTGAAAATTATGTTATTTGGTGATGGATCCGAGACCTGAATTTCAGAGGTGCTAAAAAAGGTGGAGTGGGTCTGGTTTCCTGTTCATACTCTCATTTGGCTCTGTTGTAAAAGATAAATCCTCCTCCACGTGCCTGTGTATGTGCAAACAGACGTTAGCAAATAGCCACAGAAACATTTTAATTAATGCACATCTTCCTCTCTTCACATGTTAAAATCTTTTTCTTCGCTACTCAGTAAATCTTTTCTGATGTAAAATAAATCTATTATCATGTAGAAGATGTAAAACAGGTATATATAATGAAAGACTGATTACACACATACATATACATAAGTGGTTCAATTAGGGAAACACAGAGTGACACAGTGTGAGAATTAGGCTGGAATTTTTCTTCACCGTGTACAATCCAATACAGTTTCAGTTTTCATTTTAAACTTCCTCACTGGTTTCTGCCCAGCAACTGATGAGAAACACCCCTTTGAGCCAATCCAAAAACTAATTCTTCCACAGAATGACCCTGTTACTGCTTTTCATAGTGAGCAGGCATATTTATTTTTCCTTTCTTCCAGGTAACAGAGCCTCTATTGATTACCTTTATTCTGAGGGCTGTGATTTTCAGATGGGATAGCCAAGAGGTAAGTGTGGGAAAATGGGTAAAAGCCAGGGCCATGAGCCCTAGAGGGAGAGAGGCTGAAGAGCTGAGAGTGGGCTTCCAGGGAGGCCCTCATCCAGAGAAAGGAATTGGTGCTTGTGTGTGAGGATGAGGGGGTGGAGGCAGCAGGACAATGCAAAGGCTAAAGACCTGAATTGGAAAATGTAAGGGAAGGAGACAACGTGAATGAAAAAACTTGCCAACTGCATGTTCTTAGGAGCTTACTGTGGTCAGAAAGGAGCAAAGGACTCTTATCTCTCTTAGTCATCTCTGGGAATCTGTTCTAAGAGATTTTAAAAAGAGATGTGCCTTAAAGATTTATATGTAAAGCTGTGCATTACAAAAATCTGAACCAAGCTACATATACAAGAGTTGGAGAATGGATACAAACACACTGTCCAATCATAAAAGGGATTTTCATACAGTCATTAGGAATCATATTTTTAATAAAGGGTTTTTATTTCTAATTGTAATAAAACTGGATCGAATTTGGACATTTAAATTGTATCTACATTTTGCTGTTGTAGATCTTACTTATGATGAACCGCTTTAAACATGAATGTTTGTGTTAATACCTGATTTTTTTTTTTTTAGCAGTAATTTCTACAAGTGGAATTTCTGGGTCAAATTATAATTTTGACAATTTTCAGGCATTTAGTATATATCTATGGCCAAAATACTTCCAGAAACAGTTATATTCCCATGAAGCAAAGTATATGATTACCATCACAGATTATTTAAATTTTATTCCTTCATATTTTTCTCCATTTTGAAGTTGTCTATAATCAGGAACAAAACCCAATAAATATCCTAAAAAAATTAGTGAAAATATATTCCTCACTCTGAGGACAGCACTGAAATTGTTACCTATATAATAATAATAATACTGTCCTCTCTCTAGCAGCTTAGGGAGTAGTTTTGAAGAGCAGAGGATATGGTGAAAGGCAGTCTTTTGTCTGAGAGTTGTCCGGGTTTCAGGCAGGCTCCAGAGAATACCCATCAGCACAGATCTCTGCTCCCGGCTCCTCTTCAACCCACCCACCCGCCTCTGCGGGCCTTGTTCTCAAAGGCAGTTCCCGGTGCACGTATCACGACAGCAGGTACTATGAATGCGGGCCTCATGCTGGTTTGTTTTGGGGGAATTGGTGTGAAGAGTTGGTATTTTATTTTTATTTATTTATTTATTGACATACAGTTGATTTACAGGAGTCGGTATTTTCTGAACAACTAATATGTTACAGTCACAATAATTATTTGTAACAATTTTTAATTGTTAAGTAAAACGTGAAAACCTTTAAAATTGAAAACATCCAAACAATTTTCAAAGTACAGGGGGCAAAGGACAAGTGTCTCTCACTCAATCTCTGAATTTCGTTTTAGCATGTAGCCCTTCAGAACTCTTTTAAGGCGATCCCATAAAAATGTATATACAAATTTATAGCTTTGTTGTTGTTCTTTAATAGAATCATTAGTATTTTTCTGCAGTGTTCTTTTTGTTTAATATATCTTGATTATCTGAGTTAGTGACTGTAAATCACTCTTAACTGCCATATCGAATTCCTTCATACAGATGAGCCTTTATTTAACTTACCAGTCTCCTGTTAGTGGTTAGAGTGGCTGGTTAGGTTGTTCATCTTTTTTTTTTTTTTTTTTTTACTTTTAAAAATAATGCTTCAGTGTCATCCTTACACATAATTCTCTCTGCACCCATGCAAGCGCTTTGCTGGACCAGATATCTGGAAGTGAAATTGCTAAGCCAATTATGTACGTTCTAAAGTTCCTATTTCACAATGTTTCATGAGTAACTGAAGTTCAAATAGGTTTTGTCACATGACTGAGATCACAAAGCTCGTGAATCATAGTGCCATGACTTACTTCCCACACCCTTTTTATTTCCAACACCTAACCTGTAGTGGGCCTGGCGCACAGTGAGTGCTCAATAAACGTTTGTTGAATGAATGAAAACACACGGGTGAGACCTGGTCTTATTCCTAACTCTCCCATTCACTTGCCTTGGGATTAAGAAGTGGTAGGTTCATAGGAGTTCCCTGGCGGTCCAGTGGTTAGGTTTGGGCACTTTCACTGCAGTGGCCTGGATTCGGTCCCTGGTCGGGGAACTGAGATCCTGTAAACTGTGCAGCTTGGCCAAAATTAAAAAAAAAAAAAAAAGAAGTGGTAGGTTCAGCCTCTGGGTGACCCAGGGAATCTGCCAGGATCTTGACCAGAGTCTGATGGAAGAGTGATTTGAACTTGGTGATGGCCATGGGTTGGGGCCTAGAGGAGACGGCAGTGTTGCTCCGCAGACGGGCACCCTGAGTCGTTTGTTGGCACACCATTCCATCTGACATTTTCAGGGAAGGAAAGAATACATGATGGGAGAAGGGAGGGGGCTACTTCTAGAGTTCTCAGTCCTGTCTTGGAGTAATCCACCTAGGTCGACTCTCAGGGTCTCTACTATTTAGGGACACAGCCAACTCTGGGGTGGCTGGGATGGAAGCCAAGTTAGAACTCCAGCTAGAATCAAGCCCGGCTAGTTGGCAAGGGCCACACACTTCCCTTAACACAAAAGTTCACAGTGATCCCACAGACCATGCCTAAAAGGAGGTAAAGGTGCTTTTCTGAGCCAGGATACATTTGGAAACATTGGTCTGGGACTGGGCAGTTGCGGGGCCCTGCCTCTGAGCTGGAAGAACGCCAGCACTGCATAGAGGTGTGAGCTGTGTTGGGCTGCTGTGTGCTTCTCGGTTGACATATTTGCCCCTTCTGTGCAAGTGCTAGCACATACATCTCCGCCCCTAAAAGGCACTTCTCTAGCAGTTCAAAGACCAAGGTAGGAAAATCATCCATTGCTGGTGAGCCCAGAGGCAGGCCATCTGCCGAGGAGCGTTGGTGATCACATGAGGAAAGGGAAGAAGGGAAAGGAATCACTTCCTTTCCAGAAATGTTTCTCCCCCAAAGAACAGGTGTTTCTCCCCCAAAGAACAATTTTTGGTGGGCCACGCATGGGATTAGCTCCCCAACCAGGGATCGAACCCAGCAGTGAAAGCGCAGAGTACTAACCACTGGACCGCCAGGGAATTCCCAGAACAATTGTGAAAAGAGTGCATTAAGGCACATGAAGTTGCAACACTTGCATGTCCAGGACAGCCTTGCTCCTTGAAACCACTTTATTGAAAAATAGGAACAAACACATTAATATAGGCAAGTCCCAGTGGGACCACAAGAGGCCAAGCTCTGCTCTCTAAGCCAGACCAAAAAAGCACTGTCATTATGGAGAAAAACACTTATCCTCATAAATTCTCCGCCTCCCCTCCTCTCCATCCATTAGTTGGATGACCACCAACTAATCTGATCATCTAAAGTGAACTAAAATGCTAGTGAGTATTGATGGTTTAATATGTAACTCCTCATCCATTCACTCATTCAACAAATATTTACTGAGGTTTCCATGTGAACCACCACCATGCTACAGGCTTCTTACACATCAGGAAACAAAGCAGACCAATATCATTGTTTTGTGGAGCTTACATTCTAGCAGGTGGAGACACACGATAAATGTATGAAATGTTCACTGGTGAAAATTCAATGGGAAAAAGAGAGCAGATTCAGGGGGATGGGAGCAGTTTGCCATAATTCTGTGGTCAGAGAAGGTCCCATAGAGGAACTGACTTTAAAGGAAAGATTTGAAGGAGGCAAGAGAGTGAGCTTGTGAATATGCAGGGAAGAGGGTTCCAGGTAGAGGCAAGGGTTGAGGTCAAGGTCCTCTGTCATGTCCTGTTCAAGGAGTGGCAGGAAGGGCAGTGTGGCCGGAGCAGAGACAGGGAGGGTACGGGAGATGAAATGAGGAGTGCGGGTCCTGGAGGACCATGCCAGCCACTGGAAGGACTTCAGCATCTACTCTGAGTGAAATGGGAGCCACTGGAAAGTGCTGAGCAGAGGAGTGACAGGATGTGACTCAAGGAATGTTCTGGATGTTGTGTTGAGACTGTAGGGGATACAAGCAGAATCAGGGGACCCAGAGAGGAAGGTCCCGTATTAATCAGAGTGTGATGGTGGAGGCTTGGACCTGGCGTAGCTGGGGAAGTGTGGGCACGGGTAAAGATTCTGAACATGTTCAGACAGCAGAGCCAAGGATTTCCTGATGGGTTAGGGCTACTGTCTGTACACTTAACATACATACTTTTATGGGAGATTTTCCATATTGGAACGCAAAGGTGAAGAGACTCCCAAGCAGACATTTTGACAGAGGAAGATCTTGGGTCATCACCCTAGTGATCCTGTGTTTCGCCCTGAGTTGGCCCTGTTGAGGTGAAGAATTCTGCGTGGAAACCTCAGAATTCCACGCAGAATTATCCATCTTCTTCCAGGCCGTATTTCTGCCTGACTCCTTGCCTCTCTCTATTTGCAGCACAGATGAAAATGGCGCTGTCGCTAGACTTCCCTCTGCCCCACCTCCTTGTCTGCATCATCTTGGTCCAGCTGCTCACCTCTTGCTCAGGTAGGGAACGATGCTGCTTTTATGTATCGGAAGCAGGCAATTACCTGTTAGCGCCCAGCCAGAACCTTTGACCGTTCATTCCTGGAAGTCCCATCACATACTGAAACTACACATGCCATTAAGACAAATGTCCTTCTGTCAGGATCCTGTTCCTCTCTAGGTTTTTCTGCCTGAGACACCCCCTTACCATCATGGCCCCAACTCCCTCTCATGGAGTTTCCCCCTTTTGCTGACTAGCTCAGTTTGCTGTGATTGGACCCCCTGGGCCCATCCTGGCCATGGTGGGTGAAGACGCTGAGCTGCCCTGTCACCTGTCCCCGAAGATGAGCGCAGAGAACATGGAACTGAAGTGGGTGAGATCCAGCCTCAGGCAGGTAGTTTTCATGTACGCACATGGCAAGGAAGTAGAAGACAGACAGACGGCAGAGTATCGAGGGAGAACTGAGATTTTAAGAGATGGCATCACTGCAGGGAAGGCTGCTCTCCAAATTCACAGCGTCAGAGCCTCTGACAGTGGAAACTACCTGTGTTATTTCCAAGATGGCAACTTCTACGAAAAAGCCTTGGTGGAGCTGAAAGTTGCAGGTGAGCCTCCGGGTTTTGTTCTGAGCTCATTCCTCTGTGGGACCTGGGGGCAGACACAGAGCTCATGCTCCAAATCCACCTCGCAGAGCTCCTGGTCGATCACCAGGTACTGCCTCCACTGCCTTCCAACTTTGTTTCTCTGAGGCCCTCGGGAAAGATGCAGGTCTTCCTCCAGGAAGAATCCCTCCTGTACCCTATCATATCAAGTAGAGAACTCCCTCCTGCTGGTGGCCAGGGTCTAAGCTGGAAAGTGGAAGGTCGGGGATGAGAAGGATAAGAAAACATCTCCTCAGAGATGGTGCGCAGTGGTTTGGGTTCAGCTGCATTCCCTGTGGCTTCTGGCGCCCCACCAGGTACACCCTGCTCTGAGCCCTGGGAGGCTGACCTGTAGGGACAGCGTCTGTACAGCAACTGTTCTCCAACCCGAGTTCCCAGGAACACCCCTGCAGTTGTACCAGTTGACTTTAATCCTTGTTGCAGGAGGGGGAGTGCATGCCACGTGGGAACTGGGGGTCTCAGAAAGAGGCTGTTAGAGGAGACTTGGTACAGACTTTGGGCTTCTGTTAGGGGATTTGGGGCAGCGTTTATGGAAATAGGCTTTGCTCTGGATTGGATGCTGTCAGGGAGGAGGGGGAGTGTAATTCTGTGGGTGGGTATCTTCATAAATTTTACCCAGGAGGAAGACTAGAGTGAAGCTAAAGCTGGGACTGGTAAAGGAGCATCGTCTCACAGCCAGGACAGGAGGATGTTTTGGTCTTCGTTGTGTTTTGGACAGTGTTCGTGTTTTTCTCTATGTTCAGACATGATTGTTGCTGGTCTTGTTTTTGTCTTGACCCGTCATAGTGACAAAGGGCCCTTTGATGCTGACGTTCCATGAAATGGCTTGTGTTCCCCAGGAGAACACCAAGACCAGGCCCATGTCCAATGTCAAAGGTTGCATTTCTCTTTCTCAGAGCATTCTCTTGCACTGTGGCTTCTGGCTGAGTTTGGTCAATGGGGAGCCATAGTTGAAGATAGAGGAGGGGAGGAGGAGAGAAGTCCGGGTACTTATGCCCCTGGCTTTCTCCCTGCAGGGCCACCTTTAGCTGGCTGCGTGCTCTTTCCAAAGATCACAGCTCCTCTTATGAAAGTCCTCTCTACGTGACTCTCTCCTTTTGGGTCTTCAAAACGGCTTCCTCTCCACCTCCCTTTGGGTTTAGGGGTGGGTGGTAACAGCTCTATTGTTCCTGGCCCTGGGCTATTGCTCTCCCCCATATAGTTTTCTCCTCACTAATGACCACCCTTTTGTAAACAGCTTCTTAATGAAACCCTACTTTAATTATCTAACGTGGGTGTGCCATACAGTTCCTGCTGAGACCCTCACTGATACTGGAGACTCCCAAGAATTGAGGCTCATTTGTCCCTTCCACAGCTCTGGGTTCGGATCTTCACATTGAATTGAAGGGCCATGAGGATGGAGGGATCCACCTGGGGTGCACATCCACCGGCTGGTACCCCCAGCCCCAAATACAGTGGAGAGATGCCAAGGGCCAGAACATGCCAGCCATGGCAGCACCTCCAGCTACAGATGGAGCGGGCCTGTATGCAGTCACATCATCTCTAACGGTGAAAAGCAGCTCTGGAGAAGGGGTGTCCTGTATCATCAGAAATCCCCTCCTCAACCAGGAAAAGACAGCCCAGATTTCCATTGCAGGTCAGTACCCTGCTTAGCCTCAGGTATATTGAGCTGTGGCTATTGGAAGAAGAAAGATGTGAACACCTGGAACTAATATAATATTATAAGTCAATTATACTTCAATTTTTAAAATTCCATTAAATGCACCTTAAAAGAGGCATATGTAAAATTTAATCTGTAGAAAATTTTTTAAAATGACAATTTAAACATTAACCAATTGAAACATAGCATAGCCATATTAAAAAGAGAAAAGTATAAAAATAAATAAAATGAAATAAAAATGAATTTTAAAAAGAAAAGAAAGAAGGAGGACGTGTGATTCTCTGTGCTGAGTTTGCAGTGAAAACGAGGCACTGAGCAGGGTTCCAGAGGTGTCTTCTTGCTCCGGGGATGTTTTTTTTTCCCTGTTATAACGTCACAAGTATTTACTGAGCATTTCCTATGTGCCAGAAACTGTGACAGGCAACGGGAATTGGGGGAGAAGTGGTAAAGATCAAATCCTTAAGCAAAGACAAATGACAAAATGAGGGCAGGGGGAATATGTACAACTCATAATTTAGAGAAAGCACTAATCTCCTTAAAATATGAAACAAACCAGTAGAAAAAAAGCAAAGGATATGAATTATTCGTTCACAGGAAAGGAATGACATATGAAAGTGTCCAACCTCACTCAATAGAGAAATGTATATTAAAACATTTTCCACTTGTGAGACTGGCAACAAGATAACAAAACAGTGCTGGTTGATAAAACATTCTGATGGTAGGATTGTGGGGAGACAGTCACTCTTAGACATTTTTTGGTATACATAATTTGATATATTTTTGGTATGAATTGGCACAATTGCTATTGGGGGCAATATAGCAATATATATCCAAACTACCTACTTATTGATCCAAAATCCCACTTCTAGGAATTTATCTGACAGATATGCTTGCATGTGTAGAAAACTACCCATGTAAAAAGTTATTTCTTATAGCATTAACTATAAGAGCAACAAGTTAGCGACTATGCAAATATCCATTAATGGGGAATTTTTATGCAATGGAATATTGCCCAGCTCTGAAAGGAAACACAGGCATTCTGCCTGTACTAATATGGAAAGATTTGCAAGATACAATGTGAACAGAACAAGCAAGACACAGGGCAGTTTATACAGAATGTTATCTTTGGAGTAAACAAGAAAAAATAAGAATACATTTATATTTTTAAATTTAATATACTCTTGCATAGCACTCACTATGTGTTTATAATGCTTTATAAACATTAATTTTATGCTTTAACCTTATGAGTTAGGTTTTGTTATTCTATTATTATTATTATTATTAATTTTATTATCACCCCCGTTTTACAGATTAGGACACCTGGAATAGAATGGTTAACTAATTAGTCCAAGGTCACACTGCTAGTCAGGTGGAGGAATCAGAATTTGAACCCAGGCCCCCCCCAGCTCCCAAGTGCACATTCTTAGTCACCATACTAGGCTGATTAAATGAGTCTAATTAAAGGAGACGAGCAGAGGAAGTGAAAAGGAGACTTGGGTGATGTTTTATGTTTTTTTAATTTGATATTTGAATCAAGTGAATGTAACCTATTGTAAATTTTAATTAGAAAAAACTTGATTGCGATGCTCAAGTATCACATTTACATGTGAGAGGCAGACCTTTCAAGACAAGTAATGGTATTTGCTATTGCTATAACTATAAACCCTTACTAGGGTTTACTGCAGTCTTCCCTAAAGTTCTCTGAGAACTTAGGAAGAGAAAGATCATTTGACGGGAGGAGATAAACTCCATGAACCCTGTCCTGAGGGTGAGAGGCTAAGACTGGATCCCATTGCAGATCCCTTCTTCAGAAGGGCCCAGCGCTGGATCGCTGTCTTCGCGGGGACGCTGCCTGTCTGTCTGCTGCTCCTCGCAGGGGCTGGTTACTTCCTGTGGCTACAGAGGAAAGAAAAGAAGGCTCTATTCATGGAGAAAGAGAGAGCAGAAGAGGAAAAAGAAACAGCAAGGGCAGAAAAAGAGCAGGAACAAAGAATAAAAGGTATCTGACCCCGAGAGGGCATCTAAGGCCTGTGCCTACAGGAGGGAGCCGGACTACCTCTCTGCATCCCCATCCTGTGCACCCAACCCGGCACTAGGTCATTTTTAAGGTTTATATTCTAGAGGTCCTCCTCCTTCCATCCCCATAACAGTACTTTTTTTTTTTTTCTGCTTCTTTTCCAGAGACACTCGAGTATGAACTCAGTAAGTTCTGATGCCCCCAGGGACCCAAGCTCATCTTCCTATCCCCCACTGGGCCTCTTAATGACTCATCACCTTCTTCCATTGCAGAGTGGAGAAAGATCCAGTACATGGCTAGTGAGTGGCTCTGACATTTTCTCCAAATTCTCATCCAAGACTGTCTCTGCAAGAGTATTTTCCAGCCAGTTTCCTCAGCCACTAACTCTGCCCTGGGCTGAAGGAATGTTCCGGATCCTTTTTCCCAAGAAAAGAAATATGGGAGGCTGATTGGGGGGAAGTGGTTTTTGGGGAGAAAGGAGGAGAGAATCATGAGTGTTTTGTTTGGTTTTTTAATGGAGAAAGGGGCCTTCATTCCCCCTCCTTCCCGCCCCCGTAAGGAAGAGAGGGGAGGAGAGAGTTGAACGGCAGAGGGAGGAAGTAGGAAGGGTAGGTGGTCAAAAAGAAGGAGAGATGGGTGCAAAAGGAGGAGAAAGGAAATGACGGAGTTCAGTTGACGTCTCTGCCTTTCTTCCCTTGTAGGTGGGAAGAAGTCTCAGGCCTATCCTGGTGAGTGACCTGGATGTCCTCTGAGTTTCCTGGCTCATGTGTATAAGCATTCAAACTTTTTCCCTGCTGTGTGACGCATTGGCATTCCCAGTAGGAATACTCAGATCTAACCAAGAAGCTCATTTTCTGTGGGGAATACCACCCCTGCTTTTCTGCAGCCTCAGAGAGGCCCTTCAGATACAGCATCTCGGCACTTTCAGCCACTCCCCACCCAGCTGGCACACAAGCACACAGCCTACTGTAGCCTGGCCATGTCACCTGCAGCCCCAGCATGATGAGGAAGTTCACCATTTTTGAGACCTTTTATGCCTAATCTGTCAGAGCTGTAGAGGAAGGAAGCTGGATACTGGAAGAGACTGAAGGGACACAGAAAAGGCTTATTGAGGAGAATGGGTAAGGGAAAGATCAGAATTAATGACCTTTCCTTATTGTGTCTCCTTTCTTTCAGAGTGGAAGAAGGCCCTCTTCCAAGCTGGTGAGTGAATCACTATGTCCCCTAGGACAACAACCCGAGGGACCATATTCCCTTTTTCTTCTCCAAGTCTTGAGATTCTGGGACAAGTCCCCATGACTGGGAGAGTTCCGGGCAGATGACTTGAGGCCTCGATCTCAAGGCTGTGCCTATCTCCCATGCCCTGCCACTGAGAGCCCAGAGAACCAGGGAGAATTGCTCTCCTGGGCTTCCATAGACCTTTATGGGAAGGAAGAGGCATCAAAGGTGGAGCTGAGGGGAAGGACAGGCAGAGTGAACTAATACTACAGGGAGAGCGAGGATGCAACGTGATCAAGGAGAGAAAGCAATGCTCAGAGATCTTGTCCTTTCCCAAGCTCCGTATGCCACCTCCTGCCGCTGTGTGTCCTCAGGTCACTTGATGTTTTGAGCTTCACTCTCCTCAATTTTAGACGATGATTGTAATTCCTATTTATGTGAGAGTTGAGGTAAAGACTAAATGAGCTCATGAATGTGTGTTTGGTCAAAAAAACAGGAAGAAAAGAGATGGTCTATTCAAAATGGGTGGTTGAAGAGGGTTTAAAGAAGGAACTATTTACAAAGGCAAAAAAGAGAGTAAAGGGAAGCCGACAAAGGAACATTCCGTCCCCCAGGACTCACAACAGTGGGGAGCTGTCACCACCCCTGGGCCTGAAGAGATAGGGAGAGGGTACAGCCCAGAGGAAGCTATAGCTCAAGGAGAGGGCTGCCTGAGAAAAGTCATCCTTTTGTTAGAGCATCACCATCTGAAGCTGGCAGGGAAGAAAGGGGAAAAAATAAATGCTGTGCCTTCTTCTTCCTCCTTCCAGTCTTCAGCTAGTACCTCCCATTGGCCAAATCCAGCAGGCGACCAGAGGCAAGAGAACCCAGTGACACTGTCCATAGAGGACAGATTCCCGGGGCCCAGAAGAGGGTGGAGCAACATGGAGAGTGGGTCTGGGAGCACATAAAGCCCCCAACATGGCCCTTAGCACAGAAAAGGCCTGGCAGATTTTGTAAGATCAGGCCACTTCCTCCATGCCCAGCCCTGAGCCAAATACACAACATGTGTTGTCTTCCTACCCTAGAGATTAATATTTTTATCCCCATTTTTCAGTTAAGAAAGTTGAGGCTTAAAGATATTATATAGCTTAAGTCTATGGGAAAAGAGAAAAGGAAAAGACATTCAGTTCATGAGTAGTGCAAGGATTGAAATTTAAACCTATGTGCCTATGAAGCACAGGTGGGCAGAGTCATATCGGGGAGGGAAACAGGAAAAAGGTAGAAGGAAAGAGCCAGCTCCAGGTGTCAGTTAAGAAGACCCTGACCCTCATCACCCTCCTCTTTCCCACTGAACTTAAGACCCCTGATGGCTTTCTTTTGGTATTGCTAAGGGGGTCACATTCAGGGCAGGTTGGGGACACCCAGCTCTGGACTTGGGCTTCTTCAACCAGACCCAGGCCTTGAGGGCTGAGGCTCTGAGATCTAGGAACAATGGCTGACCCATGACCCCATCCCCAAACTTTCTGCAGCGGATGTGATATTGGATCCGAACACAGCAAACCCCATCCTGCTTGTTTCTGACGACCAGAGGAGCTTGCAGCGAGCAGACAAACGACAGAATCTGCCAGACAACCCCAAGAGATTTGATTGGCATTACTGTGTGCTTGGCTGCAAGAGCTTCACGTCAGGGAGACACTACTGGGAGGTAGAGGTTGGGGACAGGAAAGAGTGGCACGTCGGGGTGTGCAGGGAGAACGTGGAGAGAAAATGTTGGATTAAAATGACACCCGAGAATGGCTTCTGGACTATGGGGCTGTCTGATGGGAATGACTATCGGGCTCTCACTGACCCCCGGACCAAACTGACAATTGCCAACCCTCCTCAAAAAGTGGGGATTTTCCTGGACTACGAGACTGGTGAAGTCTCCTTCTACAACGCCGCGGATGGATCTCATGTGTACACCTTCCCGCACACCTCCTTCTCTGGGCCTCTGTGGCCCGTTTTCAGGATTTTGACCTTGGAGCCCACTGCCTTGACCATTTGCCCAGCATTGACAGGAGTGGGGAGTTCCAGTGTTCCTGACCTAGAGCCTGACCTTTCTCTGGAGACCCCCGTGGCCCTGGGCTCAGCTGATGAGAATGGGGAGCCTCAGGCTGAAGTAACGTCCTTGCTTCTCCCTGCCCAGCCTGAAGCTGAGGGCCTCTTCCCTACCAGCAACAAATCACAACCGTAAAATACCAAAGACACACACTGTGTGAAGCACTTCACTAATATTAATACAATTATTTATTCCATATGGACAGTTGAGTTTGATACTGCTTTATTGTCTCCTTTATATGGAGAAAGAAACCAGGGTGCAGAAAAGTGAATTCACTTCGCAAAGGTCACTCAGCTAGTAAATGACAGCTGTGATTTGAATATAAAACATTTACGGATGACGTAAGTGTACTGGGGGTTGTGTCAAAGCTTTAAATAAATGTTCTCCTTTAATCCTCACAGCAACCCTGTGATATAGCCTCATTGCGCAAGTGTGGAAACTGAGGTAGGGCTGAGTTAAGCGACTTATATAATTCATCAGTTAGTGCTGCCGGGGGATGTTTGGCCCCTGTTCCCCACCTCCACCCACCCTCTACCCGCTAGCCTGTTTTCCAGCCCGACTGCCCCTGTGGGGAAGGGACCATGTGCAGCCCTGAGTGTCCCTTCCCAGGGCACCCCAGGGTAAGGATCACTGTAGGTGTCTATGGAGGCCACACCCCACTGGGTTCCTTCAAGGTCAACAGTCAGAGCCATAGGTCCAGCGCTTCGCTGCATTGGCTCTGCCAGGTGAGTTGGTCCAGAGAATGAATTCACAGTGACTGCATCACACAGGACTGCAAAGGGACTAAAGGCCAAAATCTTAACTACTAAAGGGCATGAGTACCACCACCGCCCCACCCCCTCTCCACCTCCCCACCCCCCCACCCCCACCCCCCGGCCAATGTGATAAGTAATCCCGGAGCCAGAAGCAGTCCTCCTAAGTTTAAGGTCTCTAGAAAGCCTAACTTAATACCTAAAGACTGCCTGTGGAACAAGAATTTGGGAGGAATGAAGCTAGATGAACTTTAGCAGTATTTTGATCACACTGTAGAGTCCATCTCCAGGAAAGGGATATTTCCACGCCTGACTGATTTTAACGAATGTTCCTTGCAGCTGACGGGTACCGGGCAGAAGTTACTCTTCATTATCATCACTATTTTGTTCACCAGTGTATCCCCTCTACCGGGCTGTTGTGGTCTTGCACACACCTGCGAACTTCCCTCGGGGAGGAATCAGAACCAAGACAGAACACCAATATCCAGTGCAAATCAAAAGTAGATTAGTGATAGGCGTTTATTAAGCACAAACCGATCGGGGCCTCACCAAAAGAAGGGTGAGACCCCGAGTCTTGTACAGGTGTGGTTTTTATATCCCAGGGTAACAGGATGTTCGTTCTAATTTTGAACTATTGGGTCGGCCATCCGGAACCCAGTGTCTTCCTGTTCACATTATGCTGGGAAGCAAAGCTCAATTTCACAGCAGTCAAGTCAAACGGTTAGCAATAAAAGCAGTTACAGTACAAACGGTTTTAAACCAAAACATTTCATCATTAATTCCAAGTATTACAATCTAAACTGTATGTTCTGGGACAGCGTGTCCCGTCACAGGGCGTGTGGTTGTCAAGTTACCTTTGTTAAATAAATGTGTTAATAATCTTCACTCTTCAACTGAGCATTTTCTAGATTTTAAGCCCCTACAGTTTACTCACCACAGTTTCACAATTTACCTCACTGCAACATTTTCACAAAGTCCTTATCGTATTAGTTTTCTATTGCTGCCATAATAAATTACCATAAATTTTGTGACCTAAAACAAAATAAATGTATTATCTCACAGCTTTGTAGGTCAGAAGTCCAACATGGGTCTCAGCGGACTAAAATCAAGGTGTCTGCAGGCTGCATTCCTTTCTGGAGGCTCTTGGGAAGAATCTGTTTCCTTGCTCATTCAGATTGTTGGCAGAATTTAGTTTCTTGCAGTTGTAGGACTGAGACTGTCATTTCCTGCTGGCTGTCAGCTGAGGGCTATTGCCGGTTTCTGGAGGCTGCCACGTTCCTCAGCTCGTGGTCCTCTTCCTCCAGCTTCAAAGCAGTAATGGCAGATTGAATCCCTCTCAGTCTTTGAATCCACCCTGTTTCTTCTTCCACTGAATCTCTTTGACTCTCCTGCCTTTTTCCACTTTCAAGAATTTATGTAATTAGATATGTCCAACCAGATAATCCAGGATAATCTTCCTATGAATCCAAGATAATCTCTCTACATTAAGATCCATAACCTTAAGGTCTCTTTTGCCATGTAATGCGTCATAATCACAGGTTGTAAAGATTCTGGTGTGAACTCTTCAGGCTGGCACACGTAGTCACAGCCTCGCTCACTCTGGAGGAGGCCTCTGTCCTGTATACACTAAGGGCCGCCACGATTGGAGATTCCCGTGAATCTCAACGAGTGACTCTTTGGAAATTTTATCTGTAGCCCTTCGTTCACTTACTAAACCCAGGTATACATGTCAGAGTGTCCTTTTGCAGAAAAGATAATTCTCACTGTTGATGATGTCTGGTGAACTTTCTACCGAATCCATCTCTTAGTTTGGGTTCCCCAAAAGCTGACTCTGAGTCAAGGACTCGGAGTCACGTTGTCTACTTGAGAACTGATCCCAGAAAACTCAAGTTCGAAAATAAATAAAAAGAGAAAAGCCAACTGAGAGAAAAATTACATAAAGGGTACATTAATCAGTTGGTTATCATGTGGGCAACTGGGCTCCATCCCACCCAAGACTAAGAAACATGTGAAGCTGTGAGATATGCTTATGCTTACGTCATCACACCCCCAACCCCAAACACTATACACACACTCACACACACACACACACACACAGACTTCTACACACGGCAGGCCTCTCCTGGTGATTAGCAGCAACGCCAAAATCCTCCGGGAATCTCAAGGTTTTTCAATAAAAAAATGAAAAGTATCTCGCTTCTGAAGAAAGAAAAAGGGAAGTTTTTTAAAGGCTCCGTGCAGCTGTGCGTTTTTAAGTCCTAAGCTGTTTCTGTGTATTCTACCCAGTAACTGGTGAGAAAGCAGGTTCAGGGATGCCATTGGCTGGCTGACCCACGGCCTGCTCTAAATCATTCATTGGAGATCTTGTGACTTTGTGGTCCCCGAGTGGACCGGGTCCCAGGGACCGCAGCCCCCAGGCCGCGACTAACAGGAGGCGAAGAAAAGTTCCTTCTCCGCTTTCGGGAAGGTTTGGTCTGGTTGTGCCTGTGCCCATGGGCGGGTTTAGGGGGAAGACGGACAACCGGAAAATCATCATTTGAGCGTCAGAGGAGAAAAGAAAACGCAGAAGTTAATTCTAGAAGGTAAGAAAGGGAGGGGACGCGCTACCGCTCCGGGTGGGGCGGGGAGTGGGGGGCCGTAGGCGGGAGGAACAGAACCTGATAAGGGGAAAGGCGGGGTCCCGGGTAGGGGATGCTTCCGGGGGCGGGGGTGAGGGGAGGGAGGCTCTCTACCCCTGGCTTGACTTGGTGCCGAGCCAGATTCGCGGCGAGGAGGAAGGGACGGGAGGGAGGATGGGTTTGGAAGAATATCAAGTGACGTCTGAAGAAACTCAACTCTGGCCGGAGAAGTGAGCCGAGGAGGGCGGAAAACTGTCTTCCCGATCGTTGTATTGCTGGCTTATTCCCTGGAATGTTTAATGAAGCCATCTATCGGGAAATACCTGAACCGGCAGAGGAAGGGGGCTGTCCAAGACAGCAGTTGGGGCGCTGATGATAACCAACACGGGTTACAGGAAAGTTTGACCTAGATCAGAACCGTAGTGCCGAGTCTCCCTGGCTGATTCTCCACGTCTCTCTAGGCTTCCCGTCCCTGCCTCTCGTGGGTGCTTATGGAGCCAGCTGCTTCTCTGCATTTCTCCCTGCCAGGCTCCCTTCTCTTCTTCCACCTCCTCAGCTTGTTTGCAGCGGTCTCAGGTAGGGGTGCATGCCACTAACTCCTATCAACTTCTCAGAAAGGAAAATCAGCACTTCAGTCTGCAAAGAGGAAGGGTAAAGAAGGGCTGCAGTTGTGTTCGCTCACCTTTTCGTTCTGCACACGGTCTTCGAACGGATCCCAGCGCCCTCCATTTAGCAATCCAGTGAGAGCCACAAAAGGCGAGCTGTATATATAACTTAAAATTCTTAGTAGCTACGTTTAAAAAAGTAAAAAGAAACAGATAAAACAACATTTCATAATCTATTTTAACTCCACATAACCAAAATATTATTATTTAAACTTTTAATTAATGTAAAATATTAACAGTGAGATACTTAACATTTTTTTCTAAATTTTCAAAACTATGTGTATTGTACATTTACAGCACACTCCAGTTGGGACTAGCTAGTGGCTATCATATTGGACAAATCAAGTTTATAGTATACTCCAGGCACTGTGCTGGTTTGGGAAATAGAAAAAGATCTGTGTAAGCTCAGGGTCCATGGGGGGTATCAGGGTATGCTTCTCAATGTGTTGTTCAAGAAGCATTAGCATCTTCAATAGACACCCCTCCTACCCCTGCTAGGTGTCTGTTACTATCGACCAGCCACATCTCTTGGCCCCCAGAATCCTGAGCCCAGGAAGCCCCTTAGAAAGAACATGTCTGTGCCCTGGCATATCCACTTCTTTTCCCACCTTAAAGAGTTGATGGCTGGTGCCCTTGTCTGACTCTACCGCTTTGTTGAACAGTCCAATTTACTGTCCTGGGACCAGCTGATCCAATTCTGGCCATGGTGGGAGAAGACACCAAGTTACACTGCCACCTGTCACCTGAGAAAAACGCTGAGGACATGGAGGTGCGGTGGTTCCGGACGCAGTTCTCCCCTGCAGTGTTCGTGTACAAGGGCCATCGAGAGAGAACGGAGGAGCAGATGGAGGAGTACCGGGGAAGAACAACTTTTGTGAGCGAAGCTATCAGCAAAGGGAGCGTGGGGCTGATCATACACAACGTCACAGCCCACGAAAATGGCATCTACCGCTGTTATTTCCAAGAAGGCAGATCCTACGACGAGGCCATCATGTACCTGATGGTGGCAGGTACGACCTTACATTTTGCTCCATTGCTTTTTACAGCCTGACTCTTAGGGAAAGTTTTTCTCCTCACCTCAGGCCCCCTGCAGACTAGCAGATTTTTGCCTAGAATCCCTTTTAAACAGGGAGGGTGGCTTTCCCCTGCTCAAGGACCCAGTGAGTGGGTTTGCTCTGCTAAACGGTGGGCATCGACTCTTGAGACGCACACACGGAACTCAGCTGTCACCTTGAGTAGGGGCGAATGCTGAATCCCTACAAATTATTCTTATGCCTACTTGTGAGAGATCTCTAAGCGTCTTCCTCAGTAACATGTTTTAGAATTAGACATCTTTATTGTGAAGTATTATACTCATACACAAAAACTCATAGAACATTAATGTACAGATTACTGAATTATTATGAGCTACAACCCATGTAACCACTGCTCACGTCAAGAACTAGAACACTGCCTTCTACTGACAGAGTTAGTCTGCTAGGGCTGCCATAACAAAAGGACCACAGACTGGGTGGCTTAAACAACAGAAATGTATTTTCTCACAGTTCTGGAGGCTGGAAGTCCAAGATCAAGCTGTCAGCAGGTTTGGTTTCTTCTGAGGCCTCTCTCCCTGGCCTGCAGATGGCCACCTTCTCACTGGGTCCTCATGTGGTCTTCTCTCTGTGTCTTCATGTGGCCTTTCCTCTGTGGGTCCACGTTCCTGGTGTCTTTCTCTGTGTGTCCTAATCTCCTCTTCTTATAAGGACACCAGTCAGATTGGATTAGGGCCCACCCTAACAGCCTCATTTTAACTTAATTACCTCTTTAAAGGCCCTCTCTCCAAATACGTGCACATTCTAAGGGCCTGGAGGTTAGGGCTTCAACATACGAATTTTGCGGGGGCACAGTTCAGTCCACAACACGCCACTTCTCAAAATCCCCAACTTAAACAGGTTCCTAGGAAGAGACATCCTGTATAATGAGAAATATACATCCTTAATAGGTACTACACATTTGTTTTCCAAAGTGTTTGTACCAATATACACTCTTGCCAGTCATATATGATGCTCCATACCTTTTTCATTAAGTCCAAAGAGAAGTTTTTCATCACATGTGATTTCAATCTATTTTTTTCTTTTTCATAAGTTATTTTCCACACGTGTGAGGATCAAACACCATCCTTGACCCTTTTTACCCTCCTTCCCTGCTGTTTTCCTCAGCGCCTCTCACCTTCTTACGTATGTGCATTTTACGCATTTATCCAGATTATTATGGCTCTTCCACTAGAATGTAGATTTCATAAGGGATTGTTTTCTATTTTTCTCCTGCTGTATCCACACCTTTAGAACAGACCCTGGAGCATAACAGGTGCTCAACAAATATTATTGAAGGATTAAATGAATCTGCTCCATAAAGCTGTAAGTGGTCATCACGTGGGCCTGAGCTATCTCTATTCTAAGCCTGAGATCTGCTTTTTTTTAACCTTTTTCCATGAGCCTCTTACCAGTCCATGCTTTTAATCATCTCTGAAGTATGCATTAGTCAGGATTGTCAAGGTTATGCTCTGGTCACAAGGAGCCCTCAAATCTCAGTACGTTAAATCAACAAAGGTCTGTTTCTAACACATGAAATATATCCTTCCCGAGTCTGGTGGGGCTCTACTTCATACAGATCTGCCTGGAGCTTTGTGGTTCACCTGAGCAGAGGGAAAGAGAGCCCAGAAAATTACTCACTGGTTTGTAAAGCTTCTGCCTGGGAGGTGCTACATGTTATTTATACTCACATTTCATTGGCCAAAGCACGTCACATGGTTATGCCTAACCATACAGGAGAGGGAAGTACAAGCCTAACCATGGGCCCAGGTGAACTGAAAATTTTTGTAGACAGCACTAAAAAGTACTCATTCAGGTTTTTGTTACTAGACAATCTTTTAAAGCGTTAATAGTCCACATCACAATCAGGACCAGCAGTTATTCACAACTATGTCTCCAGCATCTAGCAAATTGCTTGGCACCTAGCAGGCACTTAATAAGTAGCTGTAAAATGAAGGAGTGAAAAAGATGAATGGCTGATATCAAAATCAGAGTGGAAAAATTTACCCTTGCGCACCCCTCATTGAGGACATTCATAAATTCATTCCACAAATACTTAACAAGCATCTCATGTTCAAGTCACTGTTTCAGAAACTGAGGATAAATCAGTGAACAAAGTACATGAAGATCCCTACCCTCGTGGAACTCACATTCTGGAGGGTGCACAGAGAAATAAATGAAATAATTAAACTGGATTTTATATCAGATGGCGATGAGTACTATAGAAAATAATAAAGCAGGGAAGAGATGGAAAGTTCTAGGAGGCAAGGAGGTAAGGTAATTAGAAATAGAATGGTCAGGAAAAGCTTCACGGAAAAGATGGCGATTGAACAAAACTAGAATGAAGTGAGGAAGTGAGCCATGCACGTCTAGGGCTACTGAGAGCATCCAGTGTGAAGTCCCATCTAGCACAACACAGGGCGTGTAGGCTCCTGATAGGGGACCATATAGTTTATCACTCAAACTGCACACTTTTGAGAGTGAGAGGAGGCACTGTCAATAATTGCACAGGGACAAGTGGAATCAACAAGGACTGCCCAGGAAACTACAGCATATATGGACATCTCATTTCTTGATAAACATTAAGTTTACCTTCTTTCCCTTTCCTCAAATACTAGTTGTCGTGTGAGTGACTGACATGTAAATTATATATTAAGCTTAGTGGTCCCACAGAGAAAATGAGTGAGAATTTGGCCAGGCTTCAGGATAGAAGTGGCATTTAAACTGGGATTTCTACAAGTTTATTGGCTTTAAGGTATGACCTCACTTCCGGTGTCAGAGTATTATACTTTAAAAGACATGTTTGAAGAATGGAAAAGCCTTTAAGACACACATAAATCAATGGCATTTCAGTCCACCAGACCAATGGAGGTTTGTGGACAGTGCGACCTTCCCAGTGGGCCTCAAACGTGACTGGCAGGAGATCCCATCTTCGTTACTCAGAAGGGCAGTTCTGTATCTGATTAATATAGAATATCATGGAAGAAGGGTTTCTCCACCCTTGTGTCCTGACTCTGTTCACAACAGCACTACAGAGCTGACCACCATGTGTTTGTATGTGGCAGGCATTTTCCATTCTTCCCCTGTAAACAAGACCCTGACCTGCCCCACTCTGAAGCGAGTTGGTGTACACCTGTTTGCTTGTTTGCTTACTGTTTTCCAGTTTGGTTAATCGGCTGGCTGGTTCTGTCCTTAAGTCTATTGTCTCCTGCTTGCCCTTATCGAACCCCCGCCCTGGAACATTTTGTAGGATTTCTTTCCATCTGGCCAAGTTCTTTTGAATCTTATCCCACTTCAAAGTTTCTGTGTGAGCCTTCCAATATGCCACTAGTTGTTTTTTATTTTCCATCTTGAAAAGATCAAATTGAGCAAGAAGCAGTAAGGCTTAAGTGACTGCTTTAATTTTGTCTTTGGTATAATTGGTTGGACAGGCTTAACAAAGGAACTCCTTAAAAGAAGTCTGGATGATTGCTGGATACCTGGCTAAAGGGGCAGAAGTCTCCCAGGACCATGCATTTGCAGCTCTCTCCTACCCAGTATTCTCTTTTATTGAGGATTCTCTGAAAGATAGGATAAGTTAGGAAGAGTCTAGATTCTTAGGACTTTTGACGATGATCTGCTGACATTAAGGAGGTGATTTTTTTTTTTTTTTTTTTGCGGTACGCGGGCCTCTCACTGTTGTGGCCTCCCCCGCCGCGGAGCACAGGCTCCGGATGCGCAGGCCCAGCGGCCAGGGCTCACGGGCCCAGCCGCTCCGCGGCACGTGGGATCCTCCCAGACCGGGGCACGAACCCGTGTCCCCTGTACCGGCAGGCGGACTCCCAACCACTGCGTCACCGGGGAAGCCCAAGGAGGTGATGTTTTTATCTTAAGGATCCCGGGAGCATCCAGATCTAATAGGGGAATGATGTCAAGGGACTGTAAGAAAATTACCTAATTGACGGAGCCCAATTGACTGGAAGGTAAACATCTCTGAATTGGGATAAGGGTTGGCTTTGCACACTGGCTCTGTCAATTTTCCTAAAAACCAACAGCTGCTTATGATTATCAGACAGCTGTGGCGATGTGAAGTCCTAAACCAGGAGAAGAGGGTCAGTGCCTTGAACTCAAAAAGTTTCTTAAGATTCTGCCAGCCTGGCAGGTTTCTGTCCTTATTGTATTGACCTAGAACTTCAGGAAGCCAGAGCTACTGAGAAGTCCTCTCAGGCAGAAGTCCTCTCAGGCAGAAAGTGAAAGCCTGCTTCCTTCTGGTCACAGTGGACACACCCACCCGGAAGTGAGAAAATTAAAATCTCTAGCTGAATGAATCAATCAACCAATATTTATTAGGAGGCAGATAAATGCTTGCTCCTGTGATGGGGTCCGTAGGTGGAGCACAAAGAAAAGTACAATGTAATCCTTTCCCCACTTAGAGATCTCACAATTTTTTTGACATGTTGGTCACCTGGTGTTCTCCAACATCAAGGTCTTCTTCCTTCCTTTCCTCCTTACTGTCTCCTTCCTTCCTTCCTCCATCCCTCCCTCCTTTCCTTCCTTCCTTTCTCCCTTCACAGAATGGAATGTGCGTCATCAGTTTCTCTGGACACCAGCCTCTTGCTCTCTCCCGGCTTCCCTTGGCTCTCATCACTAACAGCCGATCTGCTAAGACACTTCGGCTAAGACACCATTACCTCTTTAGCTGGTCTCTCTCCCCAGGCCTGGGTTCTAAGCCCGTTATTGAAATGAAGGGCCACGAGGATGGAGGCATCCGGCTGGAATGCACATCTGTAGGGTGGTACCCAGAGCCCCATGCCGTGTGGAGGGACCCTTATGGTGAGATCATGCCCCCGCTGGAGGAGGCTTACACTACGAACGCAGATGGCCTCTTCATGGTCACCATGGCTGTGATCATCATGGACGAGTCTGTGAGGAACGTGACCTGCTCCGTCAACAACACCCTGCTCAACCAGGAGAAGGAAACTGTGATTTTCATTCCAGGTTAGTTCCCTGCTCTCTGGAGGCTCATCTCATGGAGGCGGGATCCTCAGCAGACAGACCGGAGCCCAGCATGGGGATGGGAGTAGGGGCGTGGAGTGGAAGGGTCCTGGGCACTGAAGAGCTAGAGGCTACAGCTGAGCTGAGGCCTCTCCCCTTGTCACAAGAGGAAACTCAAATCACCTCAAAACACAGGAGTAAGAAGCCTCTTCTCTGAGGGTAAATCTGATAGTTTTGTTTTGTTTTGTTTTTCTCTGTTATGGTCCTTATCCTGCAGCAATTTTCAAACATGTAGAACGATCATAAATCTATGGCAGGTAGTATCTGCTGAAGCCCTGCCTTCCTGCCCAAGAGATTTCCAAAGGGACAGAGCTGGAGAAATTCTCTGTCTGTAGACATTCATAAATTCATTAAATACTGAACAAGCGTCTCATATGTTCAAGACACTGTTCTAGAAACCGAAGGTAAATCAGTGAACAAAATACATGAAGATACCTGCCCTCATGGGGCTCACATTCTAGAACAGCAGAAGGCAATAAATGAAATCATGAATTAAAACAAGGAGTGAAATAATTAATTAAACTGTGGATTATATCAGATGGTGATAAGTACCATAGAAAAAAATTAGTGAGGGGGGGTGATAGAGAGTGTCAGGGGCATAAGGCAGTTGTAATTGTAAATAGGACGATCGGGGAAAGCTTCACGGAAAAGATGGCAGTTGGGGAAGTGAGGAGTGAGCCATGCAGATGTTTGAGGACTGAGCAAGCCAGGTAGCAGGAACAGCATATGCAAAGGGCTGAGGTAGGAGCATATCTGGCAGTTTCAAGGATCCCCCCAAGACACAGGTATCACTGGAATGGATTGAGGGCAGGGAGAGTTGGAGGAGATGAATTCAGAGAGACAGTAGATCTGGATCATATGAGGCAGTGTAGGCCACAAATGGACTTTGGCTGTTAGTCTCAGTGAGGTAAGAAACACTGCAGGGTTTTGAGCAGAGAAACAACACGATCTCACTTAAGCCTCTGTGCCGAGGACAGACCGCAGAGGATATGGACAGAAGCAGGGAGAAGGCATTGCAATATTCCAGGCAAGAAGGGATGGTGGCTTGTACCATGTGGTGGCCGTGCTGATTCAGTATGGCTGGTTAGCTTTTAGTCACCCTGGTCTTACCCATGGTGACTCCAGATGTTACTGCTTTTTTGTCTGCTGGGGCCCCAACCCTGGCCATCACTGTGGGGTGAGCCAGTGCAGAGCCACAGTCTCTTTCCCTAGCTGGGGTTTCTGAAAGAGAAGCTGACGGAGCAGGGACCTGGTGGGGGCCAGGGGTACAGGGTAGGCGCTCTTCAGATCTGCGCCCGGAAGGGCTCTAATCCCAGGGCTCCTTTCTCTCACTAAATGGGACTTTTGGGCTCCCTTTTCAGAATCCTTTATTCCCAGCACATCTCCCTGGATGGTGGCCCTGACTGTCATCCTGCCTTCTCTGCTCCTTATCATCGCTGGGAGCATCTGTCTCGTCAAGAAACTCCAAATGGAAAAAAAGCTTCTGTCCATGCAAATAGAGATTGAAAATGAAGAGAAAGAAATTGCACGTAAGGAACTGGGGAAAGAACGTGTGGAAAAAGAGAAAGAACGTCTAATAAAAGGTAAAAGAGTAGGAAGACAGTTCACTGTCATACAAAAGGACACAGCTCGGGCAGCTAAAAGCGTGCGAAAGAGAGAGAGGACGTGAATAAAGGCAGCAGCAAGGGCTTAGAACTCTTCGTGTCCTAGTAATGAATCCCTCAGACCTCGCTTTCTTCCATTCTGCAAATGTTGCATCCGTTCACCTGGCTACGTATAGTCCTATATTGTTTGACAAGAGCAAACCCAAATAAGTACTGATAATATCCAGCCACCTGATCATATGTTATTTCTGGTATCTTGACAATTCCCAAGGCAGCGGGGGGAGGTGGACAGTGGTATTCAAATAGAAGACCAGCCATCATCATTTAAGACAAACTCTATTTCTCTTAGTTCTTCTCTTGAGGACATTCATTTGTTTCTGTTTCTTTTTCAGAGCAACTTCATGAAGAACTGCGTAAGTTGAGCATTTCCTGAACTACTCCCTGCATGATTTGCATTCTGCCCTGCATTGTCTCCTGAAGCTCACCTCTCTGCCTGTCCCATTGCAGGATGGAGAAGAAGCCTCTTACATGCGGGTGAGCGCCTCTGACATTCCCTCAGATCCCGAGCTTTCTCCCCACCAGGCAGCCAACGGGACACATTAGAGGAGATGAACAAGGAGACGCAAGGCTGGCTAGCGGGGGCAGGAGCCTGGGGTCGATTCACCAGCAGTATCCCACCCAGTGCCGGAGCCTACCTCTGCTGTCAGGGAAGCCCCGCAGCTCTTAACCAACTCTATAGCTTACTTCCCACCATCCTTTCTTTTTTAGAATAATTTCGTCCATGATTACCAAAGGTCTACCATACATAATAGATGTCCCGAAAGGTTACCTTTTAGTAGCTGTTGCTCTTTGGATCCTGGATTATTTTGAAAGAAGACAATACTGGCTTAGCTATTTATAACCTGGGAGATGGTATAGACTGCACAGTGGAAGAGCCACGTGTGGGAAAAGCAATAAGCTTCCCAGGCCTGGCTGAGGGGTGTACAAATAGGGACCGGAAATACCTTCCTGCTCCAAGAGAATGCTGATAACCCTGTGTATAGCCTGCCAGTGGAGAGGACCTGGGCAGGTGGGAGAACACAGGGTCCAATTGCCTGGTCCTAATGAGCACTTTGAGTTTTATGATTTGTCACGTTCTGCTCACAAGCATCAAAGAATGCAGGCTTTACTAGATCCCACAGCCACTTGGACCTTTCCTCTTTCGAATTTCAAAATTATCACCATCAGACATAACTTGGAGAAAGAAGCAAATCATTTTAACACAATGATTTTGTGTTCGATGTAGACTGACTAAGTAATAGTAACTGCAGATGGGAGAGGGCTGCAGAAAGTCGGGGGTCTGAGGCATTTCCTGTATCCAGAGAGGTCATAGCTATAGATGTCACACCAATGTTATTAAGGCAAAACTACCTTTTGCCATACTCACCTCTCAAGCAAGTATGGCAGGTAGACTTTGGGGGACATTATCCTTCTTTTTTACCCTTTGAAGGATACGCTTATTAGTCATTTAAATCAGTTGTCACCTGGTTAAACTGGTAGAACACAGAGGACCAGTGTAGGGACACTTTATCACCCTTATCTGTGTAGGGAAAAATTGGTCTTAATGGCTTAATTGGGGGAGGGGGAGGGGATAGGTCCTCTTTGCTGGTTTAAGCCATGTGGGAAGCTTTTTAACTGAAGAGAGTCCCAGAGATCATATATTTTGAATAGAAAAGGGGGCAGATCTAAGAACATTGAGAGAAAGCGGGAGCCATTAATTTCAGCTCATTTGCTGAACTTTCTATGTTTCTTAGAGCCCCAGTTCTCCTCGACCTGAGGCAGTGCTCCTGCCACTTAAGAGATAGAAGTGCAGCCTCAGGAATTTTCTGTGAGCTGCCTGGGATCTGGGATCGAGGGGCCTTCACAGAAAAGGCGGTCACATGGGGGAATCTCCCACCAGCTTTCTGGGATCTCTATGGGGACCAGGAATCTCACAATCTCCTGAGATCCTAGGCCTAAACCTGAGACTTCCTCTGCAGCTGATGTGGTACTGGACCCAGACACCGCTCATCCCGAGCTCTTCCTGTCAGAGGACCGGAGAAGTGTGAGACGGGGTCCCTCCAGGCAGAGCTTGCCTGACAACCCAGAGAGATTTGACTGTCAGCCTTGTGTCCTGGGCCTAGAGAACTACTCCTCAGGGAGACATTACTGGGAGGTGGAGGTCGAAAACGTGATGGTTTGGGCTGTGGGTGTTTGTAGAGACAGTGTTAAGAGGAAAGGGGAAGCCCTACTGGTTCCTCAGAACGGCTTCTGGACCCTGGAGATGTTTGAGAACAAGTACCGCGTCCTGTCCTCCCCAAAGAAGATTCTCCCCCTGAAAGAGCGCCTTCGCCGGGTGGGCATCTTCCTGGATTATGAAGCTGGAGATGTGTCCTTCTATAACATGAGGGACAGGTCGCACATCTACACGTGTCCCCGTTCGCCCTTCTCTGGGCCCCTGAGGCCCTTCTTCAGGCTGGGGTCTGATGACAGCCCCCTCTTTATCTGTCCAGCGTTTACAGGGGCCCAGGGTGTCACAGTGCCTGAGGGCGGCCTGGTCCTTCACAGGGCAGAGACCCACCGCAGCCTCCAGGACCAATTCCCCGGTCTCAGAGCCAAGTAGAGAGCCCAGGCCACCTCTACTACCACAGCACAGCACCCCCTGGAGGAAAACCACCCTCCTTCCTTCTGGTCACGGAAGAAAATCTCCTCCAGAGGTCCCCTGGACACCTCCTCAAGCCCCAGCCCCATCTCTCCCTCATTAGGCTGTTGCTTTAGTAACTCATTTGCACGTAACGATGGGGCAGGGGCCAGTCTCAGGAACACAAGTGCTGCCACATAGCTCCCAACCAAGAAGTGTGAGAATGTGACAGGCAGAAAACCGGTTGCTTCAACGTCAGAGTGACACATTCAGCCTGAGACTGGAGTTGACGTCAGATACTGTGGACTGGGGCGAGGATGCACTAGGATGTAAGAGGGGAGCGGGAACCACAAATGGAAGTCAGAGATAGAGGAAGTGAGACCTGAGAGGTGGGCCGAGGCTATGGATGTGGTTAAGCCCCACCATTACAGCTAAGGGGTCCCAGGAGCTGATGGTCCATTTCCCACCCACCCCCAAGATTTCCAGGGCATACAGTAAAGCTCCCCAGGCCTAGATCCATATGAGGAAGGATGAAGGATGAGGATACTTCTGGACGTGGCCTGGCTCAGGTGTCCCTACAATAAACAAGGTGTCAGTACTTAGTTATTGAGAGTGGCCTAAGGTTTAAGGTCCCAGCTGAGCAGGTAAGCATTGGACCAAGTGGATCTCAAGGTTCAGGTTCAGTGGGGAGAGCAGTGCTTTTCTGCTTTTTAGCCTCAGGTTGCCTTTAGACACTTAAAAATTACTGAGGACCCTAAAGAGCTTTTGCTCATTTGGGTTATATATCTATCAATATTTGTGGCATTAGAGATTGGAACTGAGAAATGTTTAAAATGTATTTATTTATTAATTTATATTAAAAATAGCAACAAGCCAATTACAGGTTAATATAAAAAAATTTTCATGAAAAATAACTGTTGTTTCCAATGCAAAATAAAGTTTATTGAGAAGTGTGGTGTTCTTTAACGTTTTTGCAAATCTAATGTCTGGCTTCTCGAAGGTGGCTAGATCCTCACATCTGCCTCTGTATTCAGTGCTGGGATATCACAGGTCATGTAGGCTCTAAAAAATGTAACTGTACACTAGTGAGAGAGTGAGAGCAAAAATGAAAAATAATATCTTAGTATCATTATTATGGAATAGTATTAATCTTGTAGACTGTTTGCAAGTATTACAGGGACCACCCAGAAATCTGCAAAACATCTTTTGAGAAGCAGGATAGAGGATCCTGGAATTGAGTCAGTCATCTAAAATGATGACATAAATGGCAGTATTTTGGACTTTACATAATTCAGCCATCCAATTGTAAAACTTGGCTGAAAACTTTAAAAGGTATTTCAAAAGTTCAAAATTGTTTTACTGCAGTTTCAAATGGAAACATTCTGGAAAAAATCAGGAACATTGAAGTAAGTGATTTGTTGAGATGGAAGACTGGCTTATTAATGTGTATGCCGTGTGTTGTTTTTATTTTTTGTATTGTTGTTATAATAATATTTGAACAGTTTTAACTAAAAGCACCAGACTGCGATTCAGGAAACAAGTACTACTAATAACTGCCTATATTAATCTTAGGCAAGTTAGAGCTTTTCGGTGTTTTGGTATTCTGTAAAATAAGGCTTTGAGTGGGTTTGCATATCTTTTATTATAGTTTACAAAACACTTTCACTTATGCAGTATCCTTGCTTTCTCATAGCAAATATACTGATCCCCATTTCACAGTGAAATAGTGAGGTCTAGCGAGTTAAAGCAATTTTTTTGTTTGTTTGTTCAAGGAAAATAGAGTTTTCATTCATACTTTTTTTTTGATAAATCATGCCTCATCCTTAAGGTGCCTTATAAACATAAATTTCAAATGTTTTAAGTATTTATTGAAACTAAGCGTGAACCCAATGCTCTGCTAGTCACTGTATAAAATACGTAAATAGTATAAAACTCGGCTCCTATCCTTTACTGTCTTCCTTCATATCTTTGCTTATTCATTCACTCTCAACAAATTTATCACCTTTAATGTGTCGACAATGTACAGTCTATTGTGTCACGAAGGAAATAAACAGGGTGATATTATGGAGAGGAATGGGTGGGGGCTGAGGGGGACCACTTTAGATGGCAAAGTTAAGGAGGGCTTCCTGGAGGAAGTGATGGTTTTTCTGAGACTTGAGGACTAAGAAAGATTCCCGAGCATCGGGAATCTTGTGCATTACGAGCCCCAAAGCAGAAATTAACTAACTAGTTAAAGGAACATAAACCCCTACAGTCAGAGCAAAGATTGAGAATGGGACAGGCAGGAAACAAGTAGAAAGCAGACTATCTGGAGCCTCGCAGCAAAGTGCTGAGAATCAAACAGAGTCTTACTGAAAACCAGAGCTCAAATGAACAGATGTCTGGAGTCACCCGAGAATTATTTTTATTTCCTTTTCCCAGCAGGCAGCAGGATTACCTTTTTTTTTTTTTTTTTTTTTTTTGGCTGCTCTGCATATCTTGCTGGATCCCCGATCTGGGACTGAACCCAGGCTCCGCCCCGGCAGTGAAAGCACTGAGCCCTAACCGCCGACCGCCAGGCAATTCCTGGGTTACTCGTTCTTAGCAGCATGAGTAATTTAATTTTCCAGAATTTCCTTTTTCCTGGGTTTGGGGGCTGGGAGTGAAGTGGAGTAGAGTATGGAGAAAAGGGGAACGCCCCCCAGGGACTCTTCCCCTTCTTTGGGTGTCACGGCTCAGGCCTGGCGTAGTGATCCCAGCACCCTCAGTGGCTGAGATCCACGGCATCTGTGATCCCACCTGCCCTCTTGGCTCTGTAACTTAGATCAACCCCAAGAGGAGGGGGAAAAAAAAAAGAATTCTGAATCAAGACCTTCCAGTGGAAGTTTTTCAGATTTTGGCATGTTGGATTAAAGAGAGACTTTAATCTTTTACCTCGGATGGGCTGGAAGTTATCATCAGTGGTTATTACTGGGCAACAGTTAATCTTGTTACCCTTTGATCCCCGTGTGGGAGAGAGTAGGCTGGGCCAAGGAGGGAGATGGGGTGGGGATATTGGAAGTTAGGTCTTCTTGGCATATCCTACCATAATTAGAAGTTTTCCCAACTTCTGGGAAAGTGAAACTTACATATCCCTGGACTCATGAAGAGCTTTCCTTAATCATATATGAAACAGCCTGGCACATTGCTGCCAGGCTGGTTCACAGGATCATTTCATTTTCTCCCCAGCCTCCCCCATGCTTGGCCCCAAACCAACCCTTTTGTACCACAAGGCACATGTATAATTATCCCAGACCTTTCAATTACGGTTACTAATCAAACTTAGAGGACTTTGGTATCAGAGACAGAAGTAATCTGACACAGATAAGGTACATGTAAAATGATCGGTAAATAAGCTAACATTTATATCCACGCAGTTTCTGGTATGAGTCAACACACCTGCAGCTTATTCTTACATCCATGCAACAATCGCTGGCTGTTGGCCATGAGCCAAGCACTGTCTAGGCACTGAGGAAAATAACAGTGACTAGGACAGCTGACATGCGTGGAGTATTACCAACCCAGGAAGTACACTCAAGCTTCGATGGCCACACTTTCTATTGAGGCTTCATTATGTAGGCTTGACTGATTGAATCATTGACCACATAGTGATTGAACTCCATCTCCAGCCCCTCTCTCTTGCTGAGTCAAGCTGACAGCACACAGCCCAAAGCCCCAACCCCCTAATCACATGATTGGACTTTCTGGCTTGGTGATTCCCCATGAGTCATCTCATTAGAGTAAACGATCAGGTACAATCCAGAGAGCTCACCAGGAATGACACAACACTGAGGAAATTCCAAGGGTTTAGGTTATTTCCCAGGAGCCCGGACAAAGGCCAGACCTCTTACTACACAGTTTGAGAAAGAATGTCAAAGGCAAAGGACTAGGGTGCGATTGGATCTGGGGTACCACCTGAACAAAAAGGTGAGAGCAGCCAAAGGATAGTAGGAGAAAGAGTGGGCAGACCAGAGAAACAGGGAGAGCCAGATCAGTGGAGACTCGGGGCAGCGAAAGAAGTTTGTGTTTTCTTCTAAATATAATGGGAAGCCACTGTATGATTTTAAACAAGGAAGAAACATAATGATTTCCGGTAATTCCCTGGTGGTCCAGTGGTTAGAACTCCGCGCTTTCACTGCCGAGGGAGAGGGTTCAATTCCTGGTTGTGCCGCAGCCAAAAACAAGAAAACAAAACAAAACAAAAAAACACCTAATGATTTCCTTCTAAGAGAGAGTCAGAGGAGACAGAACAACAGAAGCAGAGGATAGAGATAGAAAGATTTGAAGATGCTATGCTACTAGACTTGAAGTTGGAGAAATGGGTAGCCTCTAGAAGCTGGTATTGGGCACGCTCCTCCAAAAAGTCTGAGAAAACTGCAGGAGAAAGGCTTCCCGCTCTTGCCTTTTTTCCCTGAAAGCAGGAAATAAATCTCGCATATGAAAGGTACCCTCCCGGTACCAGGAGGAAGGGAGATATCCTTATCACCAGAGAGAAGGCTATATAAACAAACCTTGCTACTTCTTCACCATTTACTACCCCTAGCCCAAGCCCCTTTGCCATGTCAATTTTTCACAAATTTATTGTTTCTTTGCCTAAAATGTATTAAAGCTTCCTGCTCTGGTCATTTCTTCAGGTCTTCATCCTCTTGTGAGGGCTCTCATGTACATGTAAAAATTCAATCAAATGTGGATGCTTTTCTCCTGTTCATCTGTCTTTATCAGTCTAATTTTCACACCCAGCCAAAGACCCTCAGAGGGTTGTTTTCTATTTTTTATTAAAAATATTTTTTGTTGAAGTATAGTTGCTGTACAATATTATATAAGTTACAGGTGTACAATATAGTGATTCACAATGTTTAAAGGTTATACTCCATTTACAGTTATTATAAAATATTGGCTATATCCCTCATGTTGTACAATATATCCTTGTAGTTCATTCTACACCTAACAGCATACCCCAACCTCTATATTGCTCCTCTCCCCTAGAAGGTTGTTTTTTAATATGATAGCACTGCACTTCTAGGAAGCAGTTTCTACATTGGGTACTTATTACTGAGCAACAAATCACCCCACAACTTAACTGTCTTAAAATAACACTCATTTGTTACTGTTCCTATGTCTGGGTGTCAGATGAGTGTAGCTAATCTACTCCTCAGCTCTGCTTCAAGCTGCAGTGTCTAAACAGCTCTATGAGTTGGCTGGGGCAACTATTCCACTTGTCTCCTACCCTCCTAAGACTAGAGGGCTGATCAGAGCAGTTTCTTCTTACGATAAACAGTTCCTTATGGTGTTCACCAGTGAGTAGAAACACGCAAGACCTCTTAAGAGGTCTTGGAACAGACACATTGTCACTTTCAACCACATGCCATTGGCCAAAACAAATCATGTGGGCAAAGGCAAAGTCAAGGGGTGACTTGCCCAGGATGAGGCCATACCAAAGATGAGGATTCAGGGAGGACTGAAGGATTGAGGTCAGTAATTCAATCTTTCACACCATTGTTCAAGATGCAACCAAATTTCTATGTCCTCCTCAAAGCCTTCTCTTAGTATTTCCGTCCACAGGACTCCTCCCATCTGTAGACATGTGCTGGGATGCCATACCCTCTGAGATGACTTCCACTCAAAAGTCATCCTAGTTTAAAAATTTAGAAATATGATTCTAGATTTTTCAAAGTCGGAAGGGACTCTAAAGGTTATAAAGCCCCAAATACCTTTAGATCTGAAGGAAAAGGCAGCCTCTGACTGACGAAGAAAGAAACAAGCCTGGCAGTGGCTCCAGCGTTCTCCACTTAAACATTTCACAGACACCAACATCAGGCAACACCATTCTGTGATTGTGATGGAGTGAGACAAAAACAAATCCACTCTGCAGTCATGTCAGAGCACAGACTAAAAAACAAGAACACCGTGCAAGCTACAAAAATGACCATACACTTCCCTCTGTCGGCTGACTGCAGTAATTGCTGTTTCTTTACCACTTAAATCTTTTTTTTTTTTGGCAGTGTCCTGCGACTTGTGGGATATTATTTCCCTGACCAGGGATTGAACCTCGCCCCCTGCAGTGGAAGCATGGAGTCCTAACCATTGGACCACCAGGAAATTCCAGCCCACTCTTTTCCTCCACTTCCTAATAAAAATTGGAATATTCAATCATACATCAGTCTGCTGCTTTCTTACAGCAGTCATCCAGAGCAAACCCTTCATTCTTTGAACCTCCCCCAAGTCATCCAACAAAAACCTAAATCCTGTAATAAGTACTCCCACACGCTCTCACTGAGACACACACCCCCAAGCCCCCATGGTGTGTTGAATCCACGCTGCTGTAACAAGTAGCGACAAATCCAATTTCATTCAACTGCAGTTGGGCTTTGGCTGGTGGCCTTCAACATGGTCATAGGCAAGCAGAACCCCACTATCAGCCTCCAGTGTTCACTCCCATCCACCCCAAATTTGGCCCCAGACTTTCAGTTCTCCAGATACAACAAAATCTCTCAGTATCTAAAGCCAAGAGGAACTTCCTGCAGATTTCTCAGAACAAAAATTGAAACAAAAAGTATTCTTTGTTCATGATTTATTGATAATTTTTCAATAATCAAGTATTCACAGAAGGGAACAGTCACTCCATTGTGTGTTTCATGCTCACATTCCATCCTCCTTCCCCCATCTTTAACTCAGATCTTAACTGGTTTAGTTCTGTTTATTTTCCAAAGAAACGCATAAAAGAGCTTAGAAAATTCTGGTGTTCCCTCCATTGTTCTATAAACGAGGCTTTGTATCTCTTATGAAACCTCTCTGTTACTACAGAATAGAAAAAAGGACAATCGTGTGCAGGTCAATGGCTTTTCATTTCTCTGGGACTCAGAGCTCATATCTCCCAGGGATTCAAAGCCTCAGGGCGCACAAAATGAAAAATACTGACAGCATTTCACTGATGACGGTGGAGAGAACAGAGATGGTGGTAAACTGCCTCAACATTCTCCTTAGGAGACATACAGG